CCAAAGGTCTGGGAGCATCTGCAGTTTAGAAGACAGATAAATATACCTAGAAGTACACTAGACATAAGACTGCTGCCCTCTGCCATACAGATAAACTCTCTGTCTTGGCATCATGTCAGTAAATGCTCTTCCATCATTTGTTTCTTCTACACGAAAATTGTTAGAGAACTTCCTACCTTTTAATACCCTGGAGTTTTTTTCACTCATTTCTCAGATTTAGGATTTTGTAAAGTTTTATAAAAAATCTTTGACAGACAACAAAACACGTGCAGTTTGTTGACATTCTTTTCAGTTTCAAAACCACATAAAAAATTTTTCCACGCGTTGATAAACTAGATTTTAAAAGTGCATTTTCTGGATATCTAGATAATCAACAACACAATGAATATAAACATTTTCTATAAATAGTTCACCATATGGCTATCATTCTCAACAGATGGTGTCTGTGTATTCACTAGAATATACAAGCGCTATGCAAATTTTGCCCTGCAATCATTCAAAATTCTAAACAAGATTTTCTTACTTCAGTTTTATTAGGCTTAGTCAAAGTCAAAACACGCAATTTTATCCCAAAGCTCTAATACAGGGAAAAAATGCCACAACTATATAAACAAAGGTTTTTGCAAAAGGCAGTACAGTTGAAAGGAGTTTAATAAAGAGACAGTAGGTACAAGGTTTTCTCAATCCTAGGACAGCACTCTGCTGCTAATGATAGTTTTTATCTACCCAAAAAACAGACCCACGTGTAAACAGCTCAGTAGTTCATGAACAAGAATGCAGTGTGCACTGTGTTATGAAAAAATCTGTATTCCAAGGGATCTGAGTGTTTATATCTATTTTGCAGCAAATGTTCTCCTATGCATTATAAGGGCATCATTTATAGTAACACCAAGCAGGTGATGATTACTGCAATATTAATGGCATCCTAGCTCTTCACCAACCATCATTAATAGTTGACTTGTAGCTGTAGCAACAAAGCCTACTAGAAAGCCTACAGATTTTATCCAGTTTTAGTAAAAAAAAAAACTTACTCATTTTTTTATGGTTTCCTGAAAGCCAATATATAAACATCTCCATGTTTTCTACTTTCAGAAGCTGCTGGGCAGTTCCGAATATCTATCAAAACAACACATGACCAAAAGTTGAATAGATACTTGCCTATCCTATTCCAACATAAAACTATTTAAGCTCATATCACATGTATAAACATTTTCTGGAAAGTCCTTCTTGGTCTACACTGGCTTATCTGTTGGAAATCAAATTCTAATTTTCAGTTTAGACATTTTTATAGCATTTCTTATCCACCTGAACAAATACGAGTTTTAATTCTATAGTTTTTCAAACTTGTTACTATTTCTCGCCTGACACACTTATGGTAAAAATAACACATTCCCATTCCTCTCTTAGTTATTAAGTTGTTAAGCTTTCTGTTCTGAAGGTCCTGACTGTTGTTGGCTTTGCCAGTCATGAATTCTTCTCTACCTGTTCCTATAGCTCCCAGCTACTACTTGTCCCTGCACAGACACCACTTCTTAGTGAAATCTCCACAAGTGTACAGGAAGGAATCCAAGCCATTCCTCTTCAGAACTGCAAATAACTGCAATATTGGATAATGGCTTCATACGTTACAAAAATGACTCTTTTTTTCCTCCTCTTTATAGTGACAGGAATATCTTTTTATGTTATTGTAAGGTATGCAGTGCACCTGAAAGTCCTGCACAACTGCAGAAGGCAGGTGACATCTCAAAGCCCAGCGAAAAAATAATATCTTCTAACAATGTACAAGTTGCCAAGATATTCTTCTGAAAATTAATAGTGATAAATTTAACTTTTATATAAAGGAGAGTACATAAACAAGAAGGATAATGCATGGTACTGTGCTCTGGAATTGTGCCTCAGTGTTGACAGCACACCAGCTTTTTGCCTACTGCTAAGTACTTCTTGCCAATTTTCAACACACTGATTTGGCCAGAAAATAACAATTGTAACTTTATGAGCAGGACACTAATTATAAGTCGAGATACAGGTAATTAAATAACAATTGCACTTCCTGCTTTAACACATGTATTAGAGGTAAGGAACCCCCATTTGTTATTGGCGTAGCTAAGGATGAACAAGTGAGTCCAAGACTTGAAAAGGCAGCACGTATCTTTGTAAGTATGTAGAATATTTTTTAAACTTGTGTAAATCAAGTTCATAAGTTAGTTGAATGTTAATGGTCTTAGTATTAAAAGATACTGTTTCAAGTATAATTGAGAAGTACATTTTAACTTTTATTCTTGCAGTTTGAACTATATATATAATATATATACACACATATTATTTATTTCTGAGTAAATTAAAATCAGATGGGTTGAAATTCGTTAAATTGAATGGCCTTAGAGCTTGCTAAATTAACATTTTGTCAAATGCTTTATATTGATTCAATGTAGCTTTAGACTTTTTCTAAAGTTCCCTGATTTTCTCAAGTTTGACAGTTAAGTTTTTGTTGTTTTGACTCTTGAGGAGTATCTTGTTGGTATTCCTTCCCTGCATCTAACTCAGGGCACATATATAAATCCCTGAAAGCTCCTTTGAGGGACTCAGTGAGAGGATTCCAGAGCCTTACAAACACCACATCTTTAATTTGAAAAATTTCCTGGACATTTTGAGGATCATAGGAATGCACGGATTGGATTCCCATCATTGTGTGAAACCAGCAATGAGTAGTAGACAACAATTCATTTCCTTTTTAACCAGTCCTAAAAGTATTTTACTTTCCCCTAACCACCAACCAATTAATTTGCTTAACACTTGCTGGCTCTGGGACAATGCTCTCATAACACCCTCTCACCTAACTCATCATTAACTAGGTTAGGAGAGCTTTTCTCTTGTAAGTGAGTCCCCTAAGCATTTTCACTTTTTTTTTTTCCTCGAAAGACTGCTTTTTTAACTTCATATGCAACTGACAGTATTTTTTCTTCAAATATGAAAAGAAGGAAAGAAATATCATTCTAACATCACTGTGAACTGGTGAAAATATTTTTGTCTGCACAGACATATCTATTCAGGGAAAGATTTAGCACGTGTCAAAGGAAGGAGTAATTTAAATATTATGGTGCTCCACTTTATAAACTGATGGTTCTGAAACAGCTTAAGTACTGCCAGTGGTTTTGTTTAACTCATCTCAGGTCCAAAATAAATGAGAGGTGAAAATAATCACACTCATTCAGCTTGAACATTAAGTCTTGAGCACAAGTAAGGCTGATTTATGCAGTTCTCGGAAGGATCATGAAGAATCACCTAAAGACAGGGCTCACCTGAGATTCTTACTGCGAATCGTGTTTGTGTAGCTACAAGAACAGATAGAATTGTCCTAGTCAGACAAGTTGTTTTGTCAATACTGGCTGCAATGGCAGATACTGAATCAGCTATTCTACTTTTTATGATAAACAGTGGATCTAAATGATAGGTTGGTTTGCAGTGGTTGAAATAACAGATCCATGCTCTAATCATTAATTATTTGCATAATGTTACTTCTAGATGGCAATTTCCTTACCATGTAGAAGGGCAATGAATGAAGGCATTTTCAAATTAGGAAAGATGACAACAATCAGGAATTACTTAAATTTTAAAAAATAGATGATACTACAAGGATGAGAAAGACAGAGGAGGCATACACATGATTTTTTCTAACATCTATAAAGAGATCAAAAGAAAAATAAAATGTGTTTTAAGGGAACAGGGAATATGAAATGTCCACACAAAATGTTTCCTCTGCAAATCGCAGCAGCCCTCTGCTCTCTTTGGCTCATATTGATGACAATAACATGAAGCAAAGTTCAAGATCCAGTTTTAGTCTAAGATTCTCTTTTAAAAGGACAATCTACTTAATTTTTAATGAAGGACATGAGATAGCAATCAACAGGAGAACCATCAAAGAAAAAAAAATTAGTACTGTATTTTCTCTGACATTTAACACAAAAAAGTCTGTGAAGTTTCACATTCTGTCTAGTAAGAGGTAACAAAGGACATCAAGAAGAGAACTGGACAACAAATTTTTGCTGGCATGATTTTTCGTGCAATTAAACTTTTGGAAAACAACAATTTGGGTAGGGAAAGAAATAATCTTATCCAAATTAAGATGAAGACTCAAAACAGACTGTAAAAGTATTTTATATATGAAATGAAGGAAGAATTAAATGTTTAACTGCTACTGATAAATTGAGAAAATGAGACAAAATACCCAAAACCTTTATGACATGCAAATTCACACACTTTTGAAATCATCACTCCAGTTTCTAGATAGCGGAACAGTCAGTTCAAAAGTTGACTGATAGGATCTTATTAGGTATAATCAGGAGGATTCAGAATTAAGAAGGGAATGTCTTAGTTTAGTGTGCAACATGTAAGTTTTCCAGTTTTCACAAATGACAAATATTAACAAAAAACAAACAACAAAAAAACAATCCACACAACTCCAAAAATATTCCACCTCAATTTTTCTGAATTTAAGAAATTGCACTTTCTGATTTAAGAATTTACATTTTACAAGTGAAAAGGCAATAAAATATGAGAATAAGTTTGATTAATTGGAAACTATTAAGGAAACACTTTCCATTTCTAGCTACACTTGTCATGCCCCCAACTGCATTTAAGATCCTTTGCAACTTGAGTAAACATAGCCTAAAATCTGTGCTGAAATTTCCCGTAGCAGTATAGGCTTGCAAAAGTTACTAATTTTTTTCCAAAGCATTATTTAAGTGCAATATCAACATATATTCATATACTTCTGTCTCAGACAGTAAGAACAAATTATACGCCTCAAAACAGGCATTGAAAGACAGCTGAGTATGGATCAAATACTACAGAAAAAAATGTTGCTACATTTTAAAACTATGTATTTAAAAAGAAATGCCTAATTTGCTTTACAAATTTCACCACTAAAATCTTTGTGTATTCACTGCTACAAAGTCAAAAATACAAAAGGAAAATGTGATGATTTGCCAAAATCCCGTTACCTGTGTGTCAGCAGCACCCTGAAAGCCATCTGATTCAGTCCCAAGTAACCTGGCAGCAAGCTTGACCAATCCCAGTTCCATTCAGTAATGGCTGACTGTTGATACATGGAAAGAAGCTAGTTAGTTATGAATCAGCATTAATATGATCAGTACATTAAAGCTCCAGCTGCTATATACTAACCAAAGAGGGGGGTCTAGAATGAGGACTTAGAAAGATGATATCAATCATGTCCACAGAAGAAGGTTTTTATTCCAATCAAATGGCAATTAATTAATTACAGACATAGCCACTGTTTATAAAAAAATAAATCTGTTTTTTGAACCATTATTCTTCCAATTGTTGATAGCATTCTGATCAGCTGCTTTGTCTGCGAGTTTTACTCTTTGTCCAAAAAGCAAATAGTTGGTAGCTTTTTATGTAAAAGCAATTTGCATTTTCTGCTGTCAGCAAAAAATTATGTCATGAAAAATTTGGTATAGCTGGAATTCAAGAAGTAACCTGTATCATAATTAGAGTGATTTAATGCTGTATTATAAACAGCTTAAAATCTAGAAAATATGAACAAGTATAACTCCATATTGCTTATTTAATAAACAAAAGCAATCTACATCATCAGTGGGCAGACAAAAGACCATACACAACATTCTTATTTTTAAAAAATAGTAAATCCTATTGCATAATATTCCTTATCATTGTTAGCAGTTGTCAAGTAGTGACTATAATTTAATCTTCTTGGGAGGAAATAAGTACAAAGTTATTGTTGTAACACTGAAACAGCACTGAGTAGTAAAAAAATGTTTAAGCAAGTCAAAACAATGGAATAATAGTAAAGTATAACTTGAAGTGCATCTTTTTCTTCTTACAGTCAGCACTTAGTTCCTCTGGGAGGGCAGAGTCACTGCAATCCCTCCTATTCCTTCCATCTATGTTTTATCACTTTCCTTCTCCTTACTTAATTTACTCCCTATCCCTAATCTTTGCCATGCATGTTAAAGTAAAGTAGAAAAACAAAGGTGAAATACAGAGTACGAAGAGGAAATAAAGGTAACAAGAAAAAATAAAATACTGAGAAAGCAGAAAGTGAATGAATAAGAAAAGGTTCATCGTCAGTGCTCTGGCATCTTCTACAGGCACTGGCAATAATTTTCATTGGAAACCAGACATTCAGCTATACTTATCAGTTTTATAAATGGACAGTCCCACACCACTAAATAAATGAACAATTTAATGGTAAAGGGAACTGAACTATTTAATAACATCATTAAGCTTGGAAATAGAATCAGAGGAGAGAATTATAGAATGACTGAGGTTTGAAGGGATCACCGTGTTCCCTTGCCATGGGCCAGGTACATCTTTCACTAGACCAGGTTTCTCAGAGCTCTGCCCAGCCTAGCCTGGAACATGTAAAACAGATGGGGCAACCACAGCTTCTCTGGGCAACCTGTTCCACTGCCTCGCCACCCTCACAGGAAATAATTTCTTTCTAATATGTAATCTAAAGCTACTCTCTGTCAGTTTGAATACATTCCCTTTTGTCCTGTCACTACGTGCTCATCTAAAATGTCCTTCTCCATCTTTCTTGTAAGCTTCCTGCAAGTACTGCAAGGCTGCAATTAGGTTACACCAAAGCCATCTCTTTTCCAGGCCAAAAAACTGCAATTCTCTTGGCCTTTCTTCATTGGAGAAGTGCTCCATCCCTCTAGTGATTTTGCTGTTCCTCCTCTGTACTGGCTCCAACAGCTCCATGTCCTTCCTGTGCTGGGGACCCCAGAACTGGATGCAGCACTGCAGGTGGGGTCTCACCAGAATGGAGTAGAGGAGCAGAACCAACTCCCTTGGCCTGCTGGTCATGTTCCTTTTGATGCAGCTCATCACACAGTTTGCTTTCTGGGCTGAATATGAAGAAGAACTTCCTTACTGCCTGGCTGACTGAGCATTGGAACAGACTCCTCAGAGAGGCTGCTGAGTCTCCCTCACTGGAGATACTCAAGAACCATCTGGAAAAATTCTCTGCCCATGTGCTCTAGAATGACCCTGCTTGAGCAGAGAGGTTGGACCAGATGACCCACTGTGGTCCCTTCCAGTCTCACCCATTCAGTGGTTCTGTGATTCTTGAGTGGAAGGTCCCTTTCAAATCAGTAGATTCTACAAATTCAAAGATTCTATAAAGCATACTTCTCTAGAGTGAGAAGCCTTGATCAGCCTTGTAGAATTGGTGTATATATATATTGGTATACATATAGTCTCCTTTTTCAGGATATTAACACTTTTATTGCAACATGACAATGATTAAGTATTCATTAAACAAGTAAGAAAAACAAGTATATTTTACAGCAATATAACTGATGAAATAGACCAAAATAGTCAAAACTGGAGAGATTACACTGCATATAAGCAGGGCTGCACTGAAAAAGGATGGATTTCCACACAAGTAACTTACAAGCGAATTTCGTGTCACTTGCAGTACCACATCTTTTCAAATATTTGAATTGACTGCTGGGATCAAAAATGCTGATGATATATTAAGAATATATGAGAAACAATGGTATGAGATTTTTTCAGTATAAAAGTGTTATCAGAAACTATTTAGCATTTTGTGCAATGATGTGGTCATGGAGTGCTCCAGCAGAGATTTAGGCAACTAGATCTCTTTTCTTTAACTGTTCCATTATCATGAAACTAAATTCTATAAGAAAATTGTAATCCTTTACAAATTATAGGCATGACTTAAAGAAAAACAGAAAAATTTATGCTTTTGTGTGTGTGCGTGTTTTAACCCACTTAGTCTGACTGTTCTGTAAAATCTTTGTATTTCTAAAGTATTCTTTACTTGACTGTTCAACATATCTATGAAAGACCCATGAGGAAGATTATAAATGTGAACATAGAGTTCTGATAAGATTTTTCAAAGGACTAAGATTAACCCTATGTACTATTGTACAGATGTAATAAAAGTCATTGCTATTATGGGCTTTCCCTCAGTATACTGAACACAGAAAGTGTAAGTAAATGCAAATTGCTCTTGCATGCAATAATTCTGATCAAAGAAAAGGCCAATAATGTCTTTTTGAACATCGTGATATTGTAGAGGGTACCCTCATTACACTCCCACAAAATAACATTCCTTTCTCCTTAATTAGATGTGAACACACATAAATAAGTCTATTTTCATACATTTAATTTGTGTCATTATCATGACCATAATAATACCAACAAGTAAAAATTATACTATAACCAAGGTTTCAGATTTTCACAAACCTGATTGAATACTTTTGCATAAGATTGTCTGTACACCTGGAAAGGGTTGAAGACAGGCTGTTCTTGTCTGCCCTTCAGCGTCAAAGGCAGACATTGACTCGAGGTAATACCATCTTCAGAGGAATTCTCACAAGACAGCTGCTCTTTCAAATATTCCTTTTGGAAGAAAAAGCAACCACAGAATAGTACAGGTCACTAGCTTTCTACATGAAATTTGCCTAGATTTCAAGCATAAGCTTGAAAGATAGAAGTTCCTTTTAATACAGTAGGGAATTAAAAAACTCTTAAAAAATAGAAACCTTTTTAAGACTATTGCCATTTTACAATGAACAGGAAATAACCCCAGAAAACATGCACCCAGCTTGAGCGAAACAGAACAATCTAACCTATTGCTTTGAAATTCTTGTCAAATTACGTGTATAAGTTCTCATTCAATATGTGCGTGTGTATATATATATATATATATATATATATATATATATATATATATTTATGCTAGGTATATGTAGAAGTGACCAACAAGTATTTTTCATGTCTTTTGAATTAAACTTTTTGGAAAACCATCAACCATTACTATATTGACTATAAATCAATTCTTTGATTAACATGTGGTAACCATGGTATTTGAACACAGGAAATAAATATTCTCCCACTCTTGAAAGCTATTTTTAGCTGCTTAAACATTCAAGGACTAGAAGCAGTATGATTTGCATTGCAATTTTCGAAACTATAGTGTAACAGATGCATTATTATTTTGGACACCATCTTTTCTGTTTTCACTTCTTCGACTACTATGTAAATAAATCATCATTGCAGGCCAATAAAGTGTTTTGATTAAATAGAACCATGTTATGAAGAACTAGATAATAAAACATTTAAACATCCATTTGCTGGAATAACTACTGTGATTAAACAGTTTGTTGTTATTAAAATGAAGTCCATTACATGGAGCAAATACTCAAGGTGAGTCATTTAGGATGGGTGAATGCAAATGCTCCTCTTATTTGCAGTAGTACTGAGATGGAATAACAGGCAAACTACCTGCCAAAGCATCCTGTGCCTCTCGTAGTTCTTTCTAAAAGAAGAATTTCATAATTTGTTTAAACTTACCCAATTATGGCCTCACCTGAAAGGCATAAATTCAGTTTCAGGCCACACAGATTGTAGCTGTTTCTCCCTTGTGTTGGCACTAGCATATGTTGTGAAATCAGTCAGGGAAAAAAAAAGTTTTCATCCAGATAAACAAGCCACATGATTTCTAGTACTAGTACAAAGGGGGGGCTTAGGAGTGGAAAAGCACAAGGGCAAGAGAAAGAGAAGGACTGTCTCTCTGCTGGTTGCAAATAAATAACTTGGTCTTGTCCAACCAAGAGAATCACAAAATTGTCTTAGTGTATGGGAAAAAACCCCAACCAACCAAAAGAAGAAAAACAAATTGTGCTTTTTTTCTGCTTAAAACAATATCAAAAAGCAACTGTGAAAACATAACCTCTTTTAGCTATTTTTAATCACCTTTTCAAAAAGATCTGGATTTTTATTTCCCCATTCATTTATTCATTCACCACTTTATGCCATAACAAAGATTTCAGAGCCATGGTGAAGGAAGTTATTAAAAAGCAATTTCTGTACATCTACCAAATTTTCATAAATGTACTGCCTTCCATGTACATATTTTTACAAAATCTGTAGACTAAAGCAACCCAGCCCTCTGGATGTAACAGAGCCAGCAGAAGCAGATTGTGTTGCTTTTTCAGAAGCAATACTGGAAATAGCTGTCCATGTGTTGCCAGATGAAGAACTATTTGCTCAGCTGGTGGGAAAACACAATGCTTATTTTGCAAAACCAGTAGTCTACAGAACGGCACAATATGTATTCTGTAGGATCATGCTGGCCATTAACAAAATAATGAACCAGCCTGAGTATGCCATCTCAGCTCCCTTTTTGGAAAGAAACTCCAGTTCACTGACCAGGCAACTTCGGGGTCTGGGACCACCAGAGACCACTAGAGGGACCCCCGGGACAGAAGAACGCATGCGCAAAGCGGGGAGGGCATGCTGCGGGTCTCCATGAAATTATTATTATTATTATATGTATGGTTCGTTCTGGGAAAATCAATGAATATGTCTGTAAAATAAAGTATATAAAGCAGGAGCTTTTCTGTACTTGACATGCACAATTCTGGTGGAGATATCCCTGCAGCATCTGGTGCTGTAATAAAGAATGCCTGCTTCTTAATGCTGCCATGGTGTTAGGAAGGAGATTTTGACCAATTTTGGTAACACCTGCTTACCAGAGTTTGAAAAATTCAAGTGGTATACAGCTGAATACTGTAAAGTTATTGTACTGTCTTTAATAAAATACTATGGAGTGGTTTTGATGAAGAGACTTATTCAACAATGGTAAATATATTACATTAAGATGCCTTTTAGTACAGTAAGTATCGTAGGCTCTGAAAGTGTCATGATTCAAAAATGTGAAAATATGAAATCACATCTGTAAACATGTGAACTATATCCTCAGTACACTGGGCATCAAACCAAGTATACAGAATATTATTGAGCCCGACAGCTCAGAAGAGTTATCTCTTTGGTTGTCATTACTAAAAAATTATTTTAAAAATTATTACTATTTTTGGCAAACACATGAAGGGCTGTAAGCTGTTCTGAGTACCACAGTAACTGTTAAAAATTTTTATAAAATCATATCTATATGTTCAAATCCAGCTTCGAAGAATCCATATCCCTTTTCGTCTGCTTTTCTAAAGAATATTACTAAAAACAACAATCTTCTGGCCTATAATTTTGTTTTTACACGATTACCAAGCAGTGTAGCATAAAGATCTCTAAACTTATTTCAAGAACACAATCTTTTGACATTCTACAGAGTCTTTAAACAGAGAATGGACCTTTGAATACACAATGAAATCTATTTCTTGGTAAGCAGGAACATAAAACATAATTTAGGTTTTGAAAAATAATATTGAAAGTACATAATCATGATACCATGCTAAGCATTAAAATATTTTGTAATGGTTTCAAAGGCATTAGAAAGTAATACAGTTAAATCCTTCTGTAACTCAAGCTGGTCAGGACCTCTCTTCTTCATTTTTAAAACAACAGAGTTTTTTCCACTGAGAAATGTTCTATTTTTAAAAAGGGTTTTACTAGCTGCAGAAATTCAAGGAGAGACACCTGGGATGTGGAAAGTCAGGCTGAAGTCCCTTTTCCCCCTAATTCTCTTAGCCTCATACCTCCTATTGGAGCTGCTCCACTTTGTATAAATAAACGAATACTCCCAGGAGTCAGATCTTAGATCAGGGTCTCCAAAACCCAGGATGTGTATTTTATTCCTTCAGCTACAGTATCATTCTATTTTTGACCCTAAAAGTTACAGAATGCATTTTTACCACTCTTTCTACAAGGCAAAACAACTCCAACAGGGGAAAAAGAAGGAGTTCCATGCCGATAGCTGTATAGAGGTTTCGGGAATTAGTATAGTATGTAAAGTATGGAGGTTTGGGGAATCAGTTCAGATGTGGGAGATGCAGATTCAATTCCCTGGTATAAACTAGGAAGTATATAAGCCTGCCTATGCTGTCCCCTAGGTAACTGTCCTAACTACTGGACTATATGCTATTTTTGGTGGTCTTTTCCACACTCCTTTATAGCTAAGAGTAATCTTGAATGTGCTCCAGGTGAAGAAGTTTTGTTTATTACAGTAATAATTTTCACTTCACTTCCTAAACCAGTTAATTGTTCAGGAAATTGAAACTTGAAAAGATTCCGTACTGTACTAATGTAAGGTTGCCATCTCTGCATATATGATTACATTGCTTCTGATGCTTCCTAAGACAGATTCATAAAAATTGTTTTTAAGCCTATGAACTAAACAATTGGATCCTATTTTCAGAAGTACAGTGTGAGTACTAAGGCGCTCTCTATGGCTTTCCTACAGACATAGCTCTCTAAGTCAGGGTTTTCTACTATCAAGTTTTTCAGAGGAAAAATCCTGGCCTCTGCCTATATTTGCACTATTTTGTATTTTGTTATAAACACTTCTGTACACTTGCAAGGGTGTTGTATTCCATTTTATTTAAATGGTATGCTCTGTCTCACCCCTCCGAAATGTATGGTATGTTCTAAGCCTGTGGTCCTGCCCTGAACCATCCTGTACCTGTAATCCCATTGGCTCAAGTCTGATTCCGCGCCCACTTCAATACCCCTCTTAAACTGTGCTAGGGGATCAGTCTGGCTCTCAGCCCTTCCTCTCTCTCAGCCTCTTCCCCCCTCTTGCCCCTTCCCTCCCCGAGGCTCCCTCTCCCTCCCCCTTCCCCCCTTTTCCCTCAGTAGCCATGCTGTAGCCGGGGTTGGGACCCCAAATAAACCTTCATCTGATCAGAAGCCGTGTGGAGTCTCCTTGCCTGCCTGCTGCTGCCAGCCAACTCACAGCCTAGGGGGCCCTCCGGGGACATCCCCGGGGTGCCCCACCTCAAAACGCACCGCAACACAAGGGTCTTAAGCACCTGCTTATGCATTCAAGGAATTAAGTAATTAAAACTAAAACCAGAACTTTCTAAATTAAGTTGTGCTACTGTACACTTTAAACCTATGTTTATTTCAGTGAATAAAATCAGAACACTTTTGGTAACTTGGGGCAATTTAGAACAGCCTTAGAAATAACATGATTATTCTTTTACATTGCCAAAATTCCATATGCAGCAAATAAATCTGAATTTGTATCTTGTAATTTTAAAAGCACTGTGGATGAACAGAATTGTCTAAATTGAGTAAGATTTCATTTAGTTCCTCAGTACAGCCATAGGGGTTGCTTGTTTGTTTAAATTAAGACAGCTAATTAACCAAGTGTGATTTTACCTTTGTAACAGTCAATTCAATTATTTTTTTTTACTGTGCTCAGACTCCTAAAATGAATCAATGATCTATAGCATGAAACTGAAGAAAGTTTATGAGCCATACTACTGTCTAAGTACCTAAATAAAATCGACAGTAAAAGTAATCTTTTCTGTAGAAATGCACAAAAGCCTAAACTGAACGGATTGTATTAAAATACAATATAGGATTCTATAGTGACTTTAAGAACTATTATCACCTCCTTGACTAACCCTTAGCTGCCAGCAGATGTTGCCCCAGGCCAGTACACACCTAATTGGTCTGTGGAAAGGCCGTTTCCCTACCTCATTGAGCCGGATGATGTGATAAATTTGCCTCAGGTACTCACTACCACCTGGTTTGTGGCAGATATCCAGGACCATCATGTTTATATTATGCTCAGAGAATCCAAGTGCAATACCACCTTCCTCTAATGTTCCACTTTTAACTGTGACTGAGGCACTAGAAGATAGAAAAGATACAGTCCTAAGTTAAATTTACTAAGAGCAAAATATTAACATGAACTCAGCTAGAACTACATGATCAAAAAAACCTGGAAGTACTTGACTTAGACATATATTGTTTTACATGTATCTCTCACACAATACGTGTTAAATAACAGTATTACACTAATTTTGATCACCTTAATAAGAAAAAATTAACACATAAAACACTCTTTAAGGATATAGAAGTAGCAAATATTTTCGTTTCCCCTAGAGAAGTATATTTGGTACTAGAAATGGCATTTACATTCGATCTCTTGTGCATTTTTCTTTGCCTGTCACAGCACATATTAAAATCTAATTAACATGTCAGAAAGGTAGCCATTACTCTAAGTATAGGATAGAAGTTTTAAATTGAAGTAGTTTTCTTTCCACCGGTATGTTGTTAACCATTTAAAGGGTACCTATTTGCCACTTGTTGCATTTTTTGCCCTATACCGATCCTTGGGGCTTTTTTTTGTATTTGTATGAAACTTCTACCAACAAAAATAGGAAGGTGACATTCCCAAACGCCTCCACAATTGTGCATTCAAATCTCTGATCATTGTCAGACGCTCTGCAAAAACCACAAGTTACTATCTTAGTACTGCTACCAAGAAGTCTAGGAAAGGAGAAGTACTAAAATTTTCCTCAAATACTAGAGCTGCAGCACAGGTATTTCACATGTATGTGTCAAGAACTCCAAAGATTAACAAGAGTATATTGTCCTTTCTGCAAACACTGTTGGATTAATTTAAAATAAACTAAGGAAGCATTATCAATTAATTAAAAATCAGTATTGTATTCGTTTAGAAGTAAAACAAAAAACAAAACATTAAAAAAATCCCAAAAACCTGAAAACAAAACCATTCTGGTTGCAGTTTACTGTTGGAAGGGTGCCATGGTTACAAAGTCAGTCCTTCTGAAAGTTGCTGTTTGACCTACAGGCTCTCTGAAATGCTGCACAGCTGCTGGACATTAAAGCTGATATTGCTTCCACATGCAGTTTCAGAATGTCCTACAGAGCAAATAGTTTCAAAATATAAACTATAATTTTGTTCTTTGCTGAATGTAAGTAAGTGATACTATGTTATTATGGTGTACTTTACAGAAAAGCCTCAAAGAAATTGATCTTTAAATTAAAGCACACTTAAAACTGATATTTGATGCCACATACAGATACAACCTGAATTTCTTGTCAAATTTCTTAGCAACCAACACTGAAAAAGCTAAGGACCTCTGACAAAGGAATGTATCAGTGTCAGCACCCAAATTGTATTCTTTACTGCCTGTTACTGCGCAGGTGAAGCAGATGATTGGATTCAGGCAGCACTATGATTAATGACTTCCTTTCTGGATTTGGGACTGCCTATCAATCATGTCATTAGCAAGAATGTGCCCTGAGAGAGGCAGGCCTCAGCCAAGGAGTAACTGCATTCATCTTAATCTGTATATGCACCCAGCCAGCAAGGTCAGGGTCACCATGATGAAAAACAATAATCTTCAATTCGACAAATTACTTTGCAAAGACAGACTTTTCTTTTCTTCCCAGGATGTGTGTTTTTTAGAATCTAACTTGACTGTTTATAGCTCTGGTGCTACCATAAAGTGAAGGTTACTTTAACGAATAGTAATTCTTTCAGGAAGTACACAAGACAGGCAAAGAACCTTTGCTGTTTTCTGAACCTTTCAATGAAGGCTATAATTTTTGAAATATTCTGTAAAACTAAGTTAATATATATTATTTTAACTTTTTATGTAAATAGCAATTCTGATAATAGTAACATAACACAAAATCAAGCAAGAATTTTACTTACAAAAACCCACTACACTTCAAAAATGTTTTTATGGCTGTGCAGGTGAGTCTCAAATAAATTTTTGAAATTTATAGGGTTTTTTTCTTTCCTATGTATCTATTAAAAATCTCTAAGCATTTATAAGTATGTATACATATATGCACATGCATCCAGCTAAATCAGAAAATCATTTGATTACTGAATGTTTACATAGCACCAATACAGTACATAGCATACAATCAGAGCATAGTAATTTCATTCATGAAAATCATAAATCTCCCCTTGAAAGATTGTTTTTAGTTTAGCAATTATGTGGACACTACTTACTTTAACTGAACATTTGAATTTCAGCTCTAATATATTAGTTTTGTAATTTGCATTTATAATAACATTAATATCTAGATTTCATATCTCAGGTACTTATAAACTGGCTATGTTTTCCCGCAGATATTGACTCATAACATTTGAATGAAAAGTGGAAAAACAACATTTCTGTTAGATTTCTACTGCAGAAATGCAACTGAAGTCAGGGGAGTCAACTTCCTAACTGCATCAAATAACTGCTCACTTGGAGAGCAGGCAATGTATTCTTCATTCTCCTAAGCTTAAAATTACCAGGCCTAGTCACAAACTAGTTCTCTCTTTGCTTGACACTGGAGACATACAGAAACATTTTCCCATGTTTACTTTCCACAATCTAATACCTAAATGTAACACAGCATTTTTGTGGTATTTTACACAAGAAAATACAGCAGTATATTATCTTAAAATTCTCAGCTTCTGAAGATGTGCAAATTAACTCAAGTTTTAGTTTTTAGAGGTTATCCACAATATTGTCTTCCTATATATGTATTTTTAAAAAGTACCTATTCTCTCAGCGACATTAGAAATTGTATTGTGGGACCATTGTGTTAAGTATCAATATACAAATTATCATTATACTTTTTTTATTCTACAACTCCATCAGTCACTGGCATCTGGCTTCAATCTTTTATTCATTGGATTAGATCTCGTAAATTAGAATTAAATGAAAATGCAAAGATAACAAAGGCCAGCGTCAATGAGTGTTTGTGTGACACTATTACTGCTTACCTCATTTATTAACTGACTACTCACAGAAACAGGACACTGTCCCTTAAAGCACTGCATGAAGACCTGTTCAGTGGTATCACTTATTCCAACCTACAATCAGTATATCCTTTGTTTATAGGGACAAATCCTGACATGACAGCAACAACTGCAACCTTCAAGAACACTAATTTTAAAAACTGGCAATCTTACTTTCAGCAGCTACAATTTAATTCAGTAAGTCATGTTATTCCAATCAATCTAATATTGCAAAGTTGATGAATAGTACATTTTTACAGAATGATACATGACTGCAACATTAAAACAGACTGGACTACAAACACACTGACATGTACACAACTCCTTGAAAAATCACTGTAAAGATCTTAATGTCAAATCTGAAGGAAAAATTGGTATTTTCTCAGAAAGGCACAGCAGGATATTATTTTTGTCCTGTTTTGATATACCCTATTTGCCTCAGGGTTTGATATGTTTTAGAATAAAGTACACTTACTTTTTATTCACAGATGAACACCAAAAGCTTCTCACAGTTCCTCTTAATTTAATCACCATAGTAAAATTAAATTATAAATATATTGACTATCTGTTCACATTTTGAAAGATATAACAATGGACTTGTCCATATTTTTGGTTCATCAAGATAACATGAAATCTTGCAGTACTACGAACACAGCATTCTGATGAAACAACCATGTTTTATTGTTTCAGCAATGAACTTAAATTACAAACCCATGGTATATCAATATTAAGGACTAATCTGTTTCACATAAGATCACTGCTCACGTCTTTTCCTTAAAATTGAGCAGTAGCCATAAACATGCCAATAATCCAGTAAAATAAAAGAGCAAATAATAGCGTTTGAAAAATACTATGTTCTTACCAATCTATGCTCAATTTTCTTGCCTTCAGCAACTGGCTTTCAATCCAGTTTGGTCTTTGCTGCTCAATGCTTTGTATAATTTTCTGGGTCACTTGCTTAGGACCACTTTTCTGTTTTCCCATAATACTTTCTAAGCACACACGAATTAAACTGAGTTTTTCTTTGCTCCATCTGTCAAGTGTTGCACCTGTTAAAAATTCTGCAGTATTTCCATCCTCAAATATCCGACATATAATTACAATCAAGTTCCAGACAAGCAGACCAGCTTTCTTCAATTCAGCAAAGTTTCTTGACATTTTTCTCTCAGCCAGAAAAAAGAAGTATTTAACTGGGGGAGACAAACATGCAATCACTGTAGGTAACTTGCTGATTACAATAGATACTGCTTGAGCTGCAAGTCTTGTGAAGCCTTAAAAATAGAAAGAAAAGATGATATGATTAACAGTATAGTTCTAACTGCTTCTGAATATTGTATGATAATTTTTAACTTTCTTTTGTTCTGAAAATGGGTAAAAAGCTTAAGTACTCAACACTGTAGTTTCACTTGTATTATGCTATCTGCACATAAATCCCACAAAACTCAAACAATTACATTAATTGAAATCAGAAAATTTAAAATTTAGACTGTGACTCTCTTAACAATTAGTCCTGCTGTGCACAGTCATTACAGGATTCTTGAGAAAGACAGTACTCAGGTATTCTGAATGGTAAACGGTTGTCTTCTAAATTGTAGTATTTTTTCATCTTCACAGCTGAAGCATTGCTCTGTGTATCAGAGTATTACATACATTTATAGTCTCTAGATTTTATAAATTCCTTTCTATGTCCAAAATGACAAAACTTCAGTTTATTATCTTTCATATAAGCATTTACACTAGATAGCACTGCATTTTAAAGACCCTAGATAATAAAATTAGCTATAAAAGTAACTACAGAGAAATTGCGCTCCTCAAAACCCAAAACGTATATAAAATGAAAAATATAGCAAAAAGTGTCAAGATTTAAAAAAGCACCAATCTCCAAACAATTCAAGAAAACCCTGTGTAATTGCACCTGCATTCTAAATGTTTTTATTTTATTAAAAAAAAAAGAAATCACATCTGTTCTATATATCACACATACAAATTTAAATTGTCTTGAAGCCTAGACTCTTACCTCTCAGTTTGCATATCAGTTCACACATAGCAATTAGCCTAAAATACCTATACAAAAGTTCTAGATTAAAACGAGAGTGCAGTGAAGATGTATGAAAAAAAAGAATGGATTGATGCCCTGGCTTGGCCACAATCTACATACTCAAAACTGTGCCACAGTACTACAACACTGAAAATAATCAGGTAGTATTTTGGTGGCAAAAATTTATCATGAAATGTTTCCAAAAGTTAGCCTTCTGAACCACGATCTTGAAATGACAGATGCTTTAGGCACTGTGGGCTATGAAAATACATACCAGAAATCAGCGTTACATCTAATCGCCTTCAAAACACCTTCTGTATGATTTCTTTCTTCCTTTACTGTTTCAACAACCAAGCGACAGCATTCAGTGCTTGTTTTGTTCAAGCATAAATTGATGTGTTGTAAAGTTGGGGTGAATGACAGTCCCGAATGAAAAGATGATAACGAAAAGGAAAGCTGTTTACAGCCATTGAGGCCAAAGTATAGGCATTATTCTTCACTTTGTTTTGAATCTCATCTGACTACTGCCAAATGCTGGAAACATCTCCACTACTATTATTACCAATACTACAATGCTTATTATTTTCAAAACCTGGTTTGTATATGTATGGGTGTAAGCCTCAAGAAAGAATAACTAAATTTTAATGGAAAGTGTTGAAAACACCCCAACCACCACAGGATGTTAGGAAATAGCTTGTTCATTGTAAAGCTACAACACTCACAAAATTTAACTGCCCAGTTTTGGAATAAAGGACTTGAAATTTCTTATGAGAAGCTTATAGGATGTATTATACATATATAAATATTATGTATAAATTTCACTTACATTTCCCAGACTCTTTTCTCTTCATTTCCCGAGGAGTGTAATTCCATTCCTTTGGAATGGTTTTCAGTAAACTTTCAGGAACTATTTGCTTGTGCTGGTATGTTCCATAGTTTTCTGTTGCTTCCCATGAATGCATCAAAGAAATTATTTGTTTCACTATACCCTTCACTGAATTAATCAATGTCAACTTCAAGCATCTGATAACTTCTGGCTCCGACTCACCACAACTGGAAACTTCAGAAGGAAGAACTATTAACTATTCAGTAAGTGTTGTGTAAATCTGTTTCAGAAAGTGTTTTCAGAATTCTTATGAAAAAAAATTATATAATTTTTAATTATATAAAATATCATTATCATTTTAATCATTATATAATTTAATGATATAAAATATATAACATTATGATATAATGATATTATATCATAATAAATTAGACCTATTTATCTGTTACAAAATAAGAAAGAGTATAATGCAAAACATATGGCATCTTGGTACCATCTTAATAGAGTGACAAAAAATCAATTTATTTCTTTCATTCTCATTTATCCACTGATACATTTATAAAAATTCTATTGAACCTGATTGATGTCTTCCTTTTTATATGGGAAATATTTAAGTACATGTTAGGTATCAGTGAGGCAAACAGATACACCTTTTTTTCTACTTTCTTGTCCTGAAAGCATTAATGAATTTGCATTTATTAGATACGCAAACTGCTATACCACAGACAGTAAAGAAAAAGAAAGTTATTTTGGAAACAAAAATACATACAAATAATAGTTATCAACTGAAACACAGCATGTCATCAGAGATTGCATGTTCAAAACACATCATTCTAAATACAGTTATTGACATTACAACAAGTATCAATCTTCTCCACATTCATAATACCACAGCAAACTGCAGTTTCTCCATAGTCATGGAGCTGCGATTGTCAGACAGAGTGTTGCAGAGCATTTCAGAGATGTTTTGACACATTATGTCTTGAGATACTTTGCTCATACTTTTGCTTCCCTCTACTTTTTGCTGATCTAATCATGGTCTTTCTGGGATCTTCCATGCACCACTTCTCTGTTTTTCTTCCTCTTATCTTAAATTACCATTTCTTGCCATCACATTTTTCTCTGAGATGTATCTGGGCACTTTTATCATTGTTTTCTATTTTGTGATGCTCATAATTCTGTTTCCCCTCCTGCATTCTCCCATTTTCATCCTCTTCTTTTGAGCTCTCCTGCTTTTAATCCATAATTTGCAAAATCACCCGTCTAACGTCACCTGTCTTTTCTGGTTGAATACTGTTTTTCCCTGCAGATAGAATTAGTTGCTCTAATTGTGAGGCCAGCTCTCTCCCGCAACAGAAAATTAAGGGGCTGAATGCCTGTTGACAATAGAGACTACTCATCAGACTATTTCTCCCTCAGTTCGAGAAAAAGTCCTTCCTTCTCTTTTTCCACTCTCCTTCGATGCTTCCTTACTTTTAAATTGTGGCAAAGGCCTGGAGCTGTTGAATGCATAGAGATGAAGAACCTCTAATGGCAGAGACCTACAAAAATATTCTGCAGCCAGTCTGCTGGTAAGACAAATACTTAATCAGACTCCTGGTCAAAAAAACTGCTCTGGAACCTCTGCATTCTTCAAAATTTTAACAACTCCTACCATGGCCTGACTGCACAAAACCCTTCAATAACACCATAATTTTGAAGTAAGCTAACATACTTTCACCTGAATTATTATGTCTGAAAAAGAACAACATTTAACATCAGATTTGAAATGCTTATTAATAAATTAATAAATTAATAAAAACCTGTCATATTGTATAAGCAGTTCCACAGCAGCTCTTTTTCCATGTAGGACTCAAAAGCAACGCCAAGAGATTTGGGTGATAAACTGCAGTAAGACAATACTGTGAAGATTGTTTCAATCAGAGTAGGCTCTTTGTTATTTTCCTGTTCCAAGAGAGAACTTTGTTCATCACAATTTAATGCTTGATTACCTTCAAAATAAACAAAAACATGATTCCAATAATTTCCAAGTAATTTAAGGTCTCAGTAATGGATAGTATTGTTCAAAATTAACTGCAAAGTCCATCTAACTGATATTTCAAACAATAACACTTACTGTCTTCCTGAATTATGTGTAGCCAATAATAAAAGAGACTTAAGCATGTTTTCAAACTATGGAATATGCCTATTTAATTCAAAATTAAGTTGAAATTGATTGTAATTGGAAATCTATTATTTACTGAAGATTAATCATTAGACTAAGATCTAAATTGCAGAATCACAGTCAAAAATCTATTACTGCTTAACTCTTCCTTATATAATAGTCATATGAAACAATAAAATCCTATGTAGATATAAAAGCTAAGAAAAGTAGCAGCTCCATATTCCCCAAAGTGTGCTGGCTTTGTTTTTCAGTGTTAGGTGAAACTCAGAATAAAACAGTTCCATAAAACAAAATCTCAGCTCTGCTAAAATACAGAATTTAAAGACAAGTAGTGATTATCATAGAGTTAAGCGATAACTTCTTTACAAATATTTACAAATATTTCTGACAATCAGTAAAAGACAATCTCCCACATATAACACATAAGGATGTGTTTAAAACTCCAGGAATTAATGCAATTCAATAACTTTGATTTGTGCTAATGTTGAAGACCTGAGCTTCCCACCTGTTTGTGAAATACGTTTCCAACCATAAGAACCAGAGCCATAACCTGTTAAATACTCTTAATTTCTAGTTTGTAAAAATAGTGATTTCTATAAAAAGTATTTAGATAAAATTATACTATGAAATGTCATTGCTTTCTGCCAGTTTGGTTGTCTTTACCTTTAAGCAACCTATGGAGGAGAAAGATGGGAGTCTTCAAAATCTACTATAATGGAAAATCATTGCTTTCAACACATCTTTGAATTACTTGAGAACTAAAAAAAATTCTCATTTTACTCGCTTCTGAATTCCTACAACCTAATTCATGTATTTCTGTAAATCATTCAATCTAGGTAGCATGCAATCTTAGCAGAAAAAAGGATGTAGAAAGCAGAAAAACATGATCACTGATTTGATAACCAACAATATGTGGGTTTTTTTCCCCCAAGGCAGCAGACAGATTTGCAATAAGATAGGTTTTTAATCAGCTTTCTTTTTCCTATGAGCTGAGTGAGCTGGCATATATTGTTTACAATTCCAGATACTTCTAAGTGAAGAACCAAATGGATTCCACTTACTCACTCAAACCAGGGATACGTATGACAATGAACTAACCATCAAAGCAGAAAAAGCAGTTAAATGGTGAAATGAAAATCTGAAGTGAACTTTGATTCTATTACTGTAAGTATTTATTTTTGAAATTAATTTAACCAAATTCTAGGGGGAGTTTTGCTAAGATTTCAAGTACTATGTAAACTGCCTTTGAAGTACATGATGGGAAATTGGTTTATTTAAAGGTGCTCATGACTTGAAATTAAGCCTAAATTTGGTTTATGACCATGCTGCATGGAAAGTTTAATTCACAACTTACTAATAACTTTTCAAATCAATTAGGACTACCAAAAAATTAGATAAAGAGAAAGGAACATAAAATGATTTTATAGAAAGGGCTATAATACTTCTTGTTATAACTACTGTATAATGCAACTCTTGTGCTTTTAAGCAAAGATCTGCACAAATCCACTACTAAATCATTCTGTGACTAAATATAACACGGCATGTAATTATTCATCAGCTTTTTCTTGCTTTACCCTGAAGTAAATGTTATCCTTGTTGTAAGAACAACCTGAAAGCTCAGGTTAAAATCAGTTTCTGATTGATAAATGGGCATAGATCATAGAATCACAGAATCCTTTGGGTTAGAAGGGACCTTAAAGGATAATATAATTTGAAAAGTTTAGCTAGCAGATCAGTATAGCTGGTTAAATATCATGAAGTAGGAGTCTACAGAAAGATATGTAGATTTCTCTTGCCTTGATTTTGTCTTTTACATTTATTAGCTCACCTGTCATAACATTAAATATTCATACCAGTTTGAACTCCAATGCAGCCTTCTTGTTAATTATTACATAGAAGAGAATTTATATGATAGGTATTATACTTACTGTCCTGTGATGCTTCCCTCTATACATTTCTATTTTTTTCACTGACTGCATTTGTACAGCAAAAGCAAATTTGTGAAGGGAACCTAAAGCTCTCATAGGTAGCTCAAAGGAGATGCTTCCATATTATTTTAGCAAGACTTAGCATTCATAAATGTGACTATATATTTATCTAGATACCTGCTAGAACAAAAAAAATCAGCTGTTTGTAATTTCCATATACCATGATGTTCTGTATGCACAACAGATACCAAAACATATTAGAATACTATTCTTTTTAAAAAATATCTCTATAAGAAAATGATGTATCTATTGAATAACAGCTATGCCCTAACCACTCACAATGAATCATTCTTCCTATGACAAAATAATGCACTAAATCTCTTGGGATACTACCGCGTATTTTAAAAGCATAACTTCAGAAAGGCAGACTTACAAGTGCAATTTACCCATATTTCTTTCTTACTGATAGAAATACCACCCAGTAATTTGCCAACATTATCACTCATCCAGCACTTATCTGACTTGTCTAGCCATAAAATGAATCTTGCTGAATTCAGAATATCCTGTCACTGACTCTAGACCTCACACTCCCCAATCAATCCATACACAACTGTCAAGATACAAATAGCTATGCTGTCTTTTTTGACCACAAGAGGTAGTCAAACTCAAATGCACACATGCTGTTTCACTTAGGAAGAGGAATTGAAGATGGACCAAATTATTTCTGATACTGGTCTTTAATTTGCAAGCAGCATGAAACTTTTGCTTCCTTTATTGAATTTAAAGATTTCTTTAAAGCACAGTAACTGATGAGGATATAAAGAATGCAAAAAGAATATGCTTTATTTGTTTATAGAATCAAATACTTCAGCAGACAGTCTACGGTACACTACATCCTCAGTGGTGCTTGTGTCACTGACTTTTCTGTTCCTTTACTGTATGTGACATAGTAGACCATTTTACTTTTCTTTCAGAGTTGCTCCTCTCCAATGACAGCTAAAATCTATTGTAACTTTGAACATGGCTTCATTTTGACAGAAAGTGTATTATTTTAGTTTTAAATTCCAAGGAGAAATTTTACCTTATAGATTCATGGAAGAGTCACAGAATACTCTGAGTTGGAAGGACCCACAAGGGTCATTAAGTCCAATTCTTAAGTTAATGGCCCATATAGGGATTGAACCACAATCTTGTTGCTAACAGCACCATGTTCTAATCAACTAAACTAATCTTGGGGTGATATTACTCCTATCCTGACTAAAACCCAGATCTTAAACCTACCCATTTCAGTTTAATACATTCCAAATAATAATAAGCCCTGAATTAGCTGCTACCCGTGAATCAAATAAAACCTAAATTTATGACAGCTATAAGGCTCAACATGGCAAAAAAGCTTTAACAACACTTATATCATCTGTCCATAAATTATTAATGTATCAGCAAACTATTTCTGTATGGATATATTTATATGTCATCAATGCCACAGCATTTTAATTTCACTCAACTCCATTTGGAATTTTTTCTCTCTAAACAATTTATTTTCAACTATCTGAGAAGAAGCTTCCATTAATGAACTTCTGAGATCGTGATCTTATCTATGGCCAATAGAACAAACCCATTATTGTCAGAATACCTCCAATACTGTTTGTATGGGATAGTATGCAGAAAGTATGACATTCTGACAGCCAAAATTTGATTAGGCAATACTGAATATACTCCTATGGCTACATTAGCTCCCTTGTGTTCCTCCATGTGTTGGGGTAGATACTAAACAGCTTACCTTCTTAAAACTTATTCAGTCTAGAGCACTACTGTAGCAAGAAGTTCCTATCAGAAATTACTAAGTCTTTGAAAAGTTAACCATATGAGCATATACCACAGACACCAAGTCTATCACACATGTATCAGACATTATCTTCACACTCTGTCAAGAAAAGGTAACATATTCACAGCAGGGGTCCACTACAGTCCAAATAGCAAATCCTACCTAGGTTTTCAGAAACCTAGATAGGTTTTACTCCTATATTTTCTCTAGCTTATCACTAGAAAATCACCAAATGGAACGGGATATCTGCATTGAGGTCCCTTTTTTACTTATCTTCCAGCTACAAGTATATCACTTCAGTATATCCTTCATTGGTTATGCAGGTACAGAATCCAATAAGCTTAGTGGTCAGATGGAGCTTTTGAGGAGGTGCCTCTTTTAAACTAATCTTCTAACCATTAGGCTACCAGGACACAGACTGCTATCACAAAGAGGCTAAGAAAACTTTCAGAGGTACCCACAAGCCTTATATTGGATTATCCACAAATATCAGGAGGAGAGATCTAGCTCTGCACAAAGATATAAAATACTCTATGAGATTTACTTCTGTTCAACTCATAACGGCAGGGTTACAGATCAACATCCAAGTTTTGTGACCAAAACCTGCAAGACTACGTTTCCCAAAATGGTGTGTGGTTGAGCCATGGGACTAGAACAGTTGCCAATTTTTTCACTTATGTGATAGACCATGACAGGATTATTAAATCCAAGGAGTCATTAGAAGAAAGTACAATGAAGTACAAGAAAGTATAATGAAAGTATTAGAAGAAGGAATGACCCTCAAGAACTTGAAATAAAAGTGTCAAATTGTTACAGATTTTAACAATGCCAGAGTTTTGATGGAGTTGGTAATTTGTGTAAAGCATGTACATTTTCTTCTGTTATAACTCATTACTGCCACTAGTAGTTCAGTCAATGAGGTCAATTGGTGAAGTGACCACTTTTCACTGTACTTTTAGGGTAACCCACAAAAAACCAGTGCTATTTACTTTTATGTGTCTAAAATTTAATTTATTAAGTTTGAATAAAAATTAGTTAGTACTTAAAATTTACCTTAAAATGACACATTGTACATCGTGACAGTTAGGTGAAACTGCCAACAGCCTGGTCCTGCTGTGAATGCAGATTTCTTACAGTTTATCGCCACATGCCAATATTCACTTTAAGACTGTGTGTAAAAAGACAAATTATATTTCTGTAACAACTGGAGTCTCAAGTTTTTATGGTAATGAATAAGATTATTTTGAAGATTAAGAAGCAATATATTGCATTTGCTGTTGTTCATCATCAACTTGATACTACTATCTCTTCCTAAACAAATGTATGAGACGCCAAGACTGACTGAAGGTCTAGAATGTGCCTTGTTAACAATTTCTCAGTTACAATTTCTTAGTGACCACTGTCTTATCTGCTATTCATAAGTGGCTAGGTCTACTGTCTGATGGGGTCCCCTCTGACACATATTAGTCCTGTGTTGGGCCAGTGCAATCCAATAAAGCTATAGCTGTTTGCTTTATTGTGCAAAGAAAAACTTCTGATCCTGGAAATAATGATTATCGAAATAGAAGTCACAGACTGTTCCACTGGAATGATGTCTATTTAGAGCAAATCTAGCAGAAAAGCTCAAAATTCACTTACATCCTTCACATTTTCATGTCAGCATCTGTTGGATTCAGCTGCTTATTTTATACAGACACCACTTCCTTTTTTCCTCTATTATTTTTTGCTTATCAAAATAACCCATTTCTATTTCACATCCATGAATGATAAGGCAATAATGGTTTAAAAAAATCCACCAAGTAAACTGCAAAATAGTTTATTTTGTCAGAAAATTAACATGGTACCAGCTAACTTCACTATTTCTCTCTAAGGTCTCTGCAAAGCCACAGCAGAGACCTTAGACCCTTTACACACTCAAGAACATGTCTTGAACAAAAAGTTGCTGGATGTTGGACCCATAGAAAAAAACTAAGATTATATGGCACTGTAATTTAACACACCTAAGATTATTTAGACTTGCAGCTTGTTATAGAGGTCAAATACACAAATCAAATATTTCAACCATTTTTTCAAAACTGCCTCTATGCAGTAGCTATGTGCACTGAGGACAAATAAATGGTTCAGTTCTGGGTAACCTGATTTATTACCTTTAGTATTTTTGATGCAATAACTTCATATTTCCATATTTTAGTTTTTATGTACATTTCATATATCATAATGCACAAAAATGACAAAAGTGCACTTTTTTCATTTTCGTGTCCAGATAGTATATAATTATATACATGGAATTTTAATAGCTTCTACAAATATGTTATCCTTCTTATAATATTTAGCAACATCAATCATGTACACATGATTTGTAGCTTCTCTACAAATACTTTTTCTACTGAAAAAATTTTGGCATTCCCAACAGTATTCCCTACTTTGGTGGGGAATATACATTCCTACTGAACCCTCCCCGTGGTACAACCATGAGAACAAAGGGACTACAATGAAATTGAATGTGTTTGATTGACATCTACTTTGAGCATCCCAAAGTGTTAAAACAATACAGGAAAACTCATTAATACCTGAGATTTTTTTTGCCTTCTGGCCTGTTTTTAAAAGGAAAAGGGAAGACTGAATGTAAAAAATTAAACCACTAGGGCAAATTGATCAAAAACTATGGTATACTTAGCTGTATAGGAGAAGGAATAAAGAATACATATTTTTTGTCATTAGACACTTAACCCCACTGAAATTAATTTAGATTATATGGATCATCACATATATTGACTTTATCTAAACTGGAAGTTTATTCATTCCAATATTGAAGTTAAATATTGGAATAAAACCTGTGTAAAGAAGACATTTTGTAATTCAACATCACATGGATTTTCCTAAAGCTTAAGAGGTTGGTCAGTCAATAGACTAATACATTCTGTCACTTATTACCTGTAATAATTTAAACAGATAGTAAAACTCAATACTGGTTAACACTAGGTTAAGACTATGACCTTGATCAAACATTTGTCAGCCTTTGTAAAAGATGATATGTGTTCCAGTAAGCAGCTGTATGCACTGCAGCTCTCAATAAGATGTATGACAGCAATGGAAGATGTTGTACTCCTGACAAATATTACACCATTTCAAAATGACAGAACTAAATATGTTATAGATAGATAGATAGATAAATACATATAAACATAAATATAAATATAAATATATAAAATATAAAATATTATGCGGACCAAACAGGTTTTTGATAAATAGGAAGAATTTGTTTGCCAAAAAAACAAAAAAAAAAAAAACAAAAAAAAAAGAAACTAAGACTCTCATATTGCTGCAAAATTAAGTCAAACAGGTGATTATATCATTAGCTATTCAACAATATGATCATTTGATCTGCAAACTATTAATAGAAAGATGTGATAAAGTTTGTTGCTTCAAACCCAATACCATCAGAATGCAAATAAAAATGTGTAGAATATTCTTTTACTTAGCCTACTTTCAAAACAGCATTAATGAATTAAGCAGAAGCATATATATGTAATTCTAGAATGCCTACAGTGACAAGCATATAATAATAACAACAAAACATCTAAGAAGCTTTCCACTGTTCAAATGTAATTTTGAAAGTGTTCTTTTAGACTACTGATCCATACTTTTAAAAACCTGTGTACAGTAGTTGTGGTATCAAAACTCCATAAAGTTCAAATTCATTTTGACTCTTTTGCATTTATGATAGCAGCCTATTTTATCAAATTGCAATTTGCTTTGAAATTATTAATACACTGGTCAAGTGTATTATGTAAATTCTCACTTAAAAAGTGATGATTTTTTAATATTTTTACCCATTCGAGAAGTATCCTACTGGTAAGTAAATGGGTACTTAACCCTCAAAATGACTGTCAGCCTTCCTCCAGCATTTAAGTTAAAAATAAATTTGTGTTTCTCACGGATAATCTTGTATGGATTGACAATATCAATACTTACTTGAGCTTCTCAGCAAAATTTTCACTAAGAGACAATCATGGTGTAGCAATGTTTCCAAAAGCAAGTTCAAATTACAGTATGGCTGGGATAAGAGCAGCTTCAGCAGACCTTGGGCTGCCATTTCTCTGGTTGATGGAGTCCTTTCAAAATACAAGACAAAGACAGAAAGAATAATATAGTTGATTTATCTATAAAATTAATACCCTTAAATTGCAGATGTAACACCAAATTCCTGAAGTGTCAACTCCTCCCAGATTACTCTGAAAATGCTTTCATGCTTCCTTACTTCAAATCAGCTCATAGAAAGAATTGCACTTCATTTCAACTGGTTAAAAGTAAATTGACATTTGTTAGTCTGCCACAGTTAAATCTGATACAAAGCAACTGTGTTTACCTCTTTCATGGAACAATATTTATTTTGTTCTACCAGGCAAAAAGGAGGACTTTTTTTCCTGCAGTTGAATATATGCAAGGGTATAATTTTTTAATTTATTATTGCAGTAATTGTTGAGTAAGAGATCTGAAATGTCTCTCCTTGATGAAGTGTATAAAGCCCTTAAGTAAAAGGCAGTGAAAATGCTCAAAGGGGTCTTAAAATTCCACTTTAGGTTGAGCAATTCTTATGTGTCCTGAAAAATCCACAAGAAATATTAGACTGGTTGAGTTACTGCTTCACCAGCAGAGAGAAGTGAGAAAGTATAGTACAAATTCATTAGCTTTAAAAAGATTGCAGTTTATTTTCTGTTTGTGATTTCCATGTTCTGCAAAAATTGAGGTTTCCAAATACTATTCCAGGGCTTACTCTGAATACAGCCACTGACCCAACACCAACCACTGAATTCACATTACAGTTAAACGAAAAACAAACAAACAAATCTGTCCTGCCAAATGTTTACCACCTATGGTATTTAGTATTTTTTTTCTTGAAACATTTTTAAAAACAAGTTTTCAAAATTGGATTGTGGATAATTTTTTTCCTTTAATGTGTAAGTTTTTATTAATTTGAGGGTTCTTTTAAAATGAAATTTCAACTGATCTTTAGCCACTGTATTTACTTTTTTGGCTACAAGTTTATACAATACTTGATAACATTGAAACTTTATACACCTGACAAACTTTGATGCACATGAATTTTACACGCATGATTTTAAGGACTTCATATGCATTGACTGGGCAGGCATAAATATTACCTGCCAGTATGCAAAAAACACCTTCAGTTAAAACTTTCTTCACAGGGAGGTATTCAATCTGACATTTTCTTATCAGACTAGAGAAGTATTTATGTACCTCTGCTCAAACAATTTACATGCCATTTATACATAACTTTTGGGACAGTACTAAAATGGGCTCATGTAGTAGTTCTAACAGAGGGGTACCTCTCCATTAAGCTGCATGCTTTTACAACCTCTGACTCAGCCAAATGTGCCACCTCCCAACTATGCTTGAATACACACATTAAATAAAACCACATAACTGCACAAGTATTTCACTGTTGAATCAAAGCTGCTATTTATACAATATACTCAATACAACCTTCAAGTCCTGGAAAAGAAAATGTCAGCTGATACACTTTGCTTTAGTCCCTCACATGTCTATGCTTCCATTTCCAGAAAAAGCAGTATGCCACATATCTTGAAGGGCAGCCTTGAAGTCACCGAAGGAAACCATAGCACCATCTTCCAGCAGGGCTCTTACATCCCACTATTATGGCAAAACTCCACTGTAATAGTAATTTTAGTAAAGGAACCTCAGCCTTTGCTCTTTTAACACTAAAGCAAATACCTCTAACTTCATAAGCAATGTCTGTGTCAGAAAACCTTATGTACAGCTTTTGCGATTTCCATCTGGTACTTCATATATTTTGCCGACAGCTAGCACTGACTCTACAATTATATTTGAATATTAGCACATAATTGATTCAAGTAATATCTATGAAAAATATATACACATATACATTTAAATCTTGACAGAACTTGCAGTCAAAGTAAATATTCCATATTTAAAATATATATTGCATTCAGACATTAGGATTTTGCATTCTTAAAATAATTATCCTAACTTCTGTATGTTCAAGATTAGTCCTATATATATAATCTAACACATGTATAATTTATATATAATCTAATCAGTAATTAGTAATTAAAGTTAAAATTAAAATGGTTACTATATTCACACTAGAATTAAATGCTATGGCTGAGAGCAAACTCAACTCTCCACTAATATAGTTAAAATACTCAGGCCAGTTTAATTTTTTTTCTCTTCTTTTAATGTCATGTTATCCTACCTAATAAGGTCAGTCATTGCCTTCAAACTAAAAGATAAGTGACAAGTTGGGTCAATTAGATTTATGAGGAATAATATTTTAAATTCCTGTAGAAAAAAATTATATTTTTAGAGTATCTGAATTGAAAAAAAACCCTGTCTGTCATTGACCAGATGGGAAGTTATCATGTTGTAATATACACCAGTTCTTGGCTCTTTAAGCATCTTGCAAATTGAAATGTACAATGGTGTGACTCACTTAGAGGAAAAATAAAATATAGCAGACATTCCCTACAGCCATGAAGCTAGCACCAATAAATGCACTGAGAAGTTTTGTAATGTGCATATGGAGAGACATATGTTCTCTCATCCTCACAGCTCAGTACTAGTGAAAATAAGACCAGCCTCATAAAAAGAGACAAAAGGTGAAGTACATATAAATATCACACATTTAAATGTCCTGTTTTGTACAGTAGAAGGAAAAAACTCCAACTTTGATTTGCAAATGCTAAAATTATAAACCCCAAATGAGGCAAAGAATTAATCACAATTAGCACTAATCACAATTTGTAACTAAATAAATATATCTAAATAAATAATTAAGTTAATTATTATCACTAAATGAACTGTAATATAAATTATCAGTAATTCTTTAGTTTGATAACCAGCTATATTATTTTGGTGTCTATTCAAGATAGAAGAAAACCTCATGTGTTAAGTTCAAGATGTTTTAAGGCAGGTAGATATGCTAATTCATGATATCAACCTTGACACTGATGTTGGAGTCAAATTGAGAAAATTAAACAGACTGTAGCTATTTACAGTAATGAAAAATAATGTAGAAAATCAGGTTACATAGTAAATAAATTACTTTCAGGAACTAGCAAAACTTTTTTTTTTGAAATAGCAAGCTTAGGAAGACAAAATACTTAATAGCTAAATGTATGACAGGTTAGAGTCATCAGTTAAAAATTAGGTGGCCACAGTTGAGAGGTATACAATGACCTGTGCTTCCAACTTTGTTACAGACAGTGAATATATATTTTAATTAGATATAAGTCATAAAATTGGAACACAACCCATGAATAATTAGGATGCTCTGAAATATAATTTTCTGCAATAATTAAATATGACATTTCTTTATAATGTTCTTTATAAAGGCAGTATTTGAAGGGAAAAAATGTTTCATTCACATAGACTATAAAACCAATGAAAAAACTAGAACACCTCAGAATTACTCATTAGATACAGAGTCCTTCACTTTATTTTTTTTCCTGAGCAGCTGAAAGGTGTGGTGTTAAAAAGTAACATTAAGTATTTTACCCATATAGTTCACTCATTATCACCAGGACAGTATTGCAAGGCTCTCTCTATGTATGGACTTTTCTCACAAAGGTACACTGACTGTATCTTCTCAGAGATGTCCTTTCTTTTGTACTTCACATTTTCCGGTTTGGCGACCAAGAAGTTGTTATTTTAGTACCTTTCTTCCACAGAAAATAAGTGCATACTACATAGCTCTGGAATAGTTCTTCAGCTATTTATTTGTATCTATCTTAATTCCACCTCAGAAAAGATAATTATGTCAGACTGAAATGGTACCATCCTTTCCTTTACATATTGTTACACAGTATAAAGTACTCACATGTGAAACTGTCCTCCAAAACTCACACTTTACAGTGTAATTTAAATCTAGAGATCTGGCCTTACATGAGGGCATCAAAAAATGTATTGTCTTTTCTACAATGAATACTTAACGGAGCATAAATTTTCCAGAAATGGATGACTAGATTCCTTTCTAATGCAGAAAGGAATTCTTTCATTTCCTTTACTGTATCCCTCCTTCTCGTTCCTCTCCAACCATGTATAACTTAAAAAGTCTCTGACAAAGTTCCTTGAAGCTTGATAAACACACATGATCTTTCACGCTTTATAAGAACTTAAATTATTATTTCAACCAGGACACATTCTGAATTCACCAGTTATTAAACTCTGGCATGTAGTCAGCAAACCACATGATTTTGATGCAGTCACAACATATATCGTCTCTGGTTCAGCAGATATCAGAGGCACTATGGAAGGAGACAACAGGATTGATGACACGCAATTAGGAGTGGAGCCTATGGAGAGAAATCAGCATGTTTTGTGTAGCATGGGGCAAAATTATAGGGAAGATATTTACATATACAAGGTAAAAGATACTGTGTGTACACGGAAAGAGATAGTAAATCCAAAGTACATGGGTCATTCATAGGTCACCATTCACTCCTCCAAAAGATAAAAATACTTTCTTGGAAAACACAGTAACATCTTACAAAAGCAGCTTTTCATGAAAATGGAGAGTGAAAAACCTCTCAGGAAATAACCTTGAAAAGGAGGAGAGGGAGGTGAAGGGTTTAGGAGAGGATCTACACTGGTGTGGGAGTGCTTCAGTTTCAAAATTAGAAAGCAAACAATAGCACAGCTGGTAGCATCTATCTTCTATGTCACTTGTCCTTATATGCAATGACACAGAAAAGTTAAGCTTTTGCTTCTAATCATTCAATAACCTCAAAAAAATTCAACTACAATCAAGCAGCATATTGTTAAATTAATTATTTATGTACCAAATATTTATTTTTAAACAGCAGTTCTAAACAGAAAGGCATACATTCTTTATCTCCCCTTTAATTATGAGTCCTTTAAAACAGCAACTGTACTGAACTTCTGTATTGTCAAGAACTATATACTCCTTAATGAAAGCCAGGAAACCTTACAGATAATTCAAATATCAAACATAATTAATAGATTAGCAAAATACAGTGCTTTCAGTGCAGCTTTTCTTCAGACTCTCAAAGATTAGAGAAATCTGCAATTAATTAACAAATACTTCTATGGCTTTTAAAAATCAGAATATTAATTAGACATTTATTCAGATATGCTCTTCAATATTTGACTAATACTGACTATGTGGTGATCCTTTTACAACAATCAACTTTTGATACTCACTTTACAAAGAAAAAACAGGATGACGGTATGCAAAATAACCAGCGCAATGGCTGATAAGAGACTTCTGAAAAATCTTGAGGAAGATGTTCATCAGAATTATCCAGAAATGTCCTGGAAGAAACCAAATACTTCCAAATTACATGGGAGACTGAAAATCCCCTTGGATCACTACTATTAAGTATGTATATATGAACAGAAGACAGAAAATACCTTATGATGAATACTATTAATATATGTATGCAAACGTAATTGCAACTCTATGTACTGTAAAAAATGTAATTCTATATTTTTATTAACTTTCACTCTTTGAAACTCAGTAATATAGTTATTATATCTAATAACTAATTATATCTAATAACTGTTATTCAAGTTTTCTTCATATTTTTATTCCTATATAATACATTTTCAAACAATGTATAAGGCTTTGAAAAGGCTTTCAATAAGCGAATTTCTCTTCTTGAGTCATTCAATTCTGTAGCTCTTTTCTTCCGTCATAACAAAAATACACAGTATTTTCAACACTTTTATCATAATGATATGTAAAGTATCTTTTGATATTATATTGACTGATATGCAAGCATATATAGACTTTGGATTATTTGGGACAAAAATTTGAACCAGAAGCAGAAGCTTTGGACTTTCACTGGCTTGAGAGAAATGGAATACTGGTTGTTTTCAAAGATAAAGGACTAGAGTAGAACTAGATTGTGACTAGATGTAACTTTTACAATACTTCACTTACGTAAATGATGTGACAGGCAAAATCCACAGATAGTAAAAATATTTTATTAATTATATGATAGGATTACAGATATGTGTAAGAACAAGATTCTATAATTTGATATTTGCCTTTAACTATTGTTTACTAATAAATTATTAGTATTTGTACAATTTTCTAGCAGCCAATAGGATTCAATAATGTATGATAGTAATGGATGCCTTGTGGCCTCTTCTCTTTTTATTCTCTCTACAATTCCAGCAGAGAGGAATTCCAACCTGTCACACGCATCCTCCATTTAATATAAACAATTATCACTTCACAAGCACCTTACTTTTCATCTTACTTGACTGTGAATTTTTTTATCTTTCACCTGAAGTAATTCAGTAGTATAGCTAAATGTCTATAAGACTCAGATGAAAGAAGAGAGAGAATTATACTTTTTCAACAAGAAAGGTAGCTGTATAGTTTCTGAACTTCTCCAAAAGATGTTTTATTTGGAAACCACTCTTACTAACCAAAAAAAAAAAAAAAAAAGAAAGGATTTAATACAGATCTTAAGTAAGCAAAATCTGAGCAGAAGGATTAGCACAGTCAGTTTGTGCTCTTTGTGAATTCATGAAAACCTGAAGATTAAAACCAAAGCTCAGATTCTAATATAGCCAAAAGAAGAATACAAACTTGAAAAGAATAATTTTAAGGACAGTAATTTCAATATTATGAAAGTAAAAAACAAATCTTATTGTCTCTCATCCACTGAAATTTTTTTTTCTGAATACAGCAAAGTACAGAGAAAACATCCTACACAAAAGTGTGATAAATACATTTTGGTTAGCAATCTAATTAAAAAAAAGAGGACCACATCTTGTCTATTGGTTATGCAGGAACTGTTTGACAGAATTCTGGACTAGAGCAGCTTGTTAAATATGATTTCTTAGCTGTATCCTAAGGAGAAGCATAGGGCAGATTTTTGGATTCTGACTTATTTGCTTATACTGAAATCTCTACAGTAATTTTTAAAGTGAGATAGAGATAATCTGAGGGTTTTAGAGATTGTTTAAATATTAGAATAGCTTAAAATACTATTAAAAAACCAAGTATCTGATAATACAGTAATTCTCATGACAGCATCTCTTAATGTCCACTGCTGGCTAGGTGATTCTTGCCAGGAATGCCCAACTCTGTGCCAGACTGTTGAATTCAACTATCTTCTGACAGAAGTATAATAATAGTTAGTAGGACATTGGTTTTTGCTTCAAATTATGCTAAACCAGCTGCCTACTATCCCAAAGCACTGGATAGCTGATTTAATACCAAAGCAAGATTTCAAGTTATAGCGGTTTTATTCTTCAGTAGAGTATTACAATGTGAGAATTGATCCTGTAAGCCTGAGTGCAGGTGTGAAGAAATGAGATGCCAGCAAGATGCATCCTAACAGTATTTCTTTGTAGTTTATATGATTTCTGTCTGTATAAGGAATAAACATTACTAAAAAGCAACTTCATGAGTTATAACTCATATATTAAAGAGAAATGTTCTCAATCTTTAATACTGAAGAACATTGAATTTAAAACAACAGAGCGCAATTTTGTGCTTTTTTGACACTCTTTATATGCTTCTCTAAACATTTAAATAATTTACCTGACTTCTTGTTGATAAAATAAGATATAACAATTCATACTATGAGATCACAAAAAGGTGCATCCACCTTACTCTTTATATTCTTCCTTTACAGACTATCATCCCCTAATCAGTACAAAAGACTAAAGAATATCAGAATAGGCACAAGAATAGATCTGCTCCAAACTGAGTGATCCTGAACCTGAGGCAGAAGACAGTCTCTACTTTGAGGCCCAGGTAATTTACTCCTCTACAAAGTTATGAGTAAAGAATGGCGTTGAATACACGTGTATTCATTCACAGGCAGCACTGAAACTGTGCGATCCACTACATGAAACCCCAGCTACTAGAACTGAGTAATTGACAACAACCTTGTCAGCAAGTAAGACAATGATGACTGGAAATTCAGAATTATGAAAATCCTCTTATTTCAGAGGTTTGAGTAAGCAGCAAGAAAATAGCAACACTCAGTAGATTTGAGGAGCATGTTCTAGAGACTCCTTGTTCAACAGGTTCTCAACAACGTGGACAAAAGCCGACAGAGAACAGTTGCTTAGCAGATTTTCAGGTGACACTAAACTGGAGGAAGCAGACACAACAAACAGCCAAGTGCCTACTCATGGACGACTGGGCCAACAGAAATTCACAAAACTGACTGAGGTAAAAAGCAACTGTTTACTTTAGAATTACAACAACCTAGGTTGGAAACTGACTCGTCTGAGTGCCACCCTATCGAACCACAAACCTGGGGTTTATGGGCAGCAGGGTGTTGAAGACAAGTCAACAGTGTATTACCACCAGAAAAAAAGCAAACTGCACGCTTGGCTGTATTAGAAGGAACACAGCAACTAAAACAAAGATAATTTACTTAATCTGCTCGTCAACGGTTTAAGCCTCACCTAGAATGCTGTCCAGCTGTTTGGCCTACAGTTCAAGGAGAATGTGAGGAAACCAGAGAAGACTAAACTGAATAATCTGTAAAAAAAGTTTGAGGGCTCTAGAATCCTTTACTCTGGTGAAGAGGCGGCTAAACTGTCAATTTATGTAAAGGCAGCCTACAACCACCCAAACTAAGACAATTCATAATTACGAAGACAACACTGACCAACTTTTCTCAGTGGGGCTGATGTGATAGAGCAAATTATAGCCAGCAGCTTTGAGGGCTCACACTAGATAGGAGGCAATATTTTGCACTATGGTATCACAGCTGCAGAGCAGGCTTCACAAAAGTTGTAAAACTTCAGTTCCTGGAGGTTGCTATGCGTCAGTTGAGTCAGTCAAACACAGACATGTTAGACTGCTGTAGGTGATTGTTTGGCTTTGAGGAGGAGGCTATATTAGACAACCTCCAGCAGTCCTTTCCAACCAACATTTCCATTATGCTAAAGATACTTCAGGAAAGCCACAGAATGATGGAGAAAACTGAAGCATAGAAAAACAATATCAAACCCTACGACCCAAGATTCATAGGTGAATTTTGGACCAGATCTAAGTAACCTTCTCATACAGAAAAGAAAGTCTAGATCACAAAATTGGCTATGAGAAAACAAATCACCTTATCTGAAGTTAAGGATATAACTAATTTTTCACCATCATTACTGTCTTGTTCAACGTCCACAAAATAACTAAGAAATTTAAATAATTTTAGTTCCCTTAAGCAATAGAGGATATAGCCTCTCTAGTAAGTTGGAAATGAGCCAGTCATATTATTACACAACTCATGGAAAACAATGTTTCATCACTGCCATTTTGCTGATTACACAGAATTTTCCTGAAAAGTCTAAAGATAATTGACTTCTACTCACTTAACGAAAACTTCCAGTACAAAAAGACAGAATGATAGGTTTAAAAGAAAAGGTTTCACTTCCAGTTAACTTTACTAAAGATGTGAAAGATATAGGGCCAAGACAACAGATGGAAATTGTGATTATACAAGCGAATTGCAGAGAGAATTGATGAAAGATTAATATTCCTTTAAAATCAGGCATAACTTTTGAATTTATTATTGATAGATTCTTAATGTAATGAACTATGCATACCCCAGTAATTTACCTAAAATTCACTATATCAAGGTGCTTCCAATTGTATATAGTCATTTAAGAAGCTGATCGGCTAAACCACTTTCTTCTTTGTACTCCGGACACTGGGTTAGTTATCTGACAAATATCGGCTGCAATTAAATATACAATTTAAAAAAATTGTTTCGATAATAGGGCCTCACATTGTGAAAACACAGGTTCTGAATAGAAGTTCATTAAAAAAATACAGTTTTACTTACTGTAAAACATGCATCATCTATATGGAAATATAGTGTTCAGTGTTAATATTTTTTTTGTAACTATATAAGAAAATAAGACAATGTTTTTGTATTCTCTTTAAACAAAGCACCCATATTTTGGTGGTGATTTGCACAGTACTTTACTACTTCGTAGTAAATTAAATCAGCTGTTACATTCAGCACATGTCAAGGTTTTGATCTCCAGATACGCAAATTCAGGGATTCAAATTTACATCGCTAACTCTGAAAGCTATATGACCAGGTTGTTAACCTGCAGAATTTTACATAAAATAAAAACCAAGCTTTTCATTGGCACTTTGTTCTGAAACTCCAGATTTCTCCAACAAGCACACATTTTTTGTCATGCTATGTATACATAAATAGGTAAAAAACATTGATCAGTGGAGGAGACTAGAGTTGCTTAAAGGAACAAATTATACTGCATATTTACTTTGGTCTATCATTTTAAGGGCTTTCATAAAAGAAAGATGAGCTGTCAAAACTGACAGTAGAAGCAGCTACAGCTACTGCAGTCTCCTTTCCTGTCTCCATTTCTACTGCCATAGCAGGACTACCTAATCTGTTTCTGAGCTATCCTATAAATTGCTATCTATTCATAAGCCTGTGTTATATTAAGATCAAACAACCAATTACAATCCACTTTTGCATGTTCTTTAGAGCCACAAATATTAAAATGAGCCCATATGTGACAAAAAAATTTATATAAAGAAGCTTATATGCAGGAGGTCTCCACCCTAGTACCTCTTCTAATTTTCTTATTTTGAATAATGAAGCTAAAGACAGTTGAATAGGATGTGGCTTCATCAGTTTGGGGTTTTGGTTTTGTTGTTCCTCTTTTTTAAATCTGTGATCTCACTTTGTATTGTCTCGAACACCAAATTTACAGATGAATTTTATCAACAAAAGACTCAGACCCAATTTCAGTGCAAGTTACGTGTCCACTTTTTACAGTTGTGAAGACATGATTTTATAAATATGGGCATTCTATATTTTTATACTTTTAACTACATTTGTTGCAGCATACTGGTCGTGTAACCAGATGATCATTTTAGTAAATTAGCTTTACATTCCAATACATCTAGAAAGATTATCAGATGACAACAGAACATTCTAATTTAGCTGGAAGCCTGAAGCAGATAAATCTGAACTAGTGAGATGATTTCTTTTCAACTGATGAATGACTAAGTCCCTGAAAACCTTGCCAAAGCATTTGGTTCCATACTAGTAAATGTTTTCAGATCAATAAAACCATATTTAAAAAGAAATATGTCCTAACTGGAAAAATAAATTGCAAATTTGGAGCAGTAATAATTAACGAAATTCTACTGATTTTGTCACAACAAATAAACTTAGACATTCACGATGGTTTATGTTATTAATAGAAAAAATGTACAGCACCGGATTTTGATCCAAAGCTAATAAAATCTCAGCAGATATAACCGGGCTTTAGGCACGATCACAAAAATAAGTATGGGATCAAATGGAGAAATTGTCAAAGACTAATAAGATGTGGCAATACTATGCATTACATTTGATTGCAACACAAAAATTCACCTTCGTAGATCTATCCGTGTAAGCTCAAGAAACCAACATTATCTCAAATTAAATGTTTCTTTCATACTCACTCATACAAATTCTTCAATGGTGAAGTTAAAATAGCCAGCACAGAGATCAGACTATTGCAGTGGCTATGTATTTTATAGATCTTGAGATCTCTGTCTTTGTGTGGATTCAGAAACTCCTGCACAGAACTACAAATTGACCAGAGCATATCTTCAGTGGACATCAAAATTGCTGCAATATCAATTCTGTAAGTAAAAAAAGCCCAAGAATAACATTACTTAAGACTTCTTGTCAGTGGTAAATTCCAATTAAACAGACATTTTCTCTGACAGGATAAAACACCAAAATCATAGCATGGACTTTAAATTTCTTCTTCAGTGATGTCTGTCTTCAGTCTCCACCCACTACTCTGTAAAAATCTACTCTTTCACAGAGAAGTTGTTACTGAAACTAGAAGAAGACTTAAAAAATTGGAAATGTCCTTTCTCAAAGGCATGAACAATTTACTTTCTAAACTACAAGTAAATAAACATAAATTTTGTTTTCTTATAATTAAAATGTACATACTATTTTCAAATCCTGATGGGGCAAAAATTATGAACAAAGTAACTTAATCTTCAATATGCAAAACTAACTCCATACAACACTGTACAATGTGGAACATTTGTAAGTAATCTTTTGCCAGTTGATATTGGTTGGTAGAGTGCCACATGTCATTGGCCTGAACAACAGCAAGAACCCAAACTACAACAACATAATCTCACAGGACTATGCTGACATACAATACATAGGAAACACGTGAACACAAAAAATATGGGAGGTATGAGGCTGGACTTTAAAAAATACTTAAGTACCTAAAAGCCATGTGATCATATGCATTTTTAAGGGTCATGTTATTTTTGAAAAATCTAGACAACACACATAAAAAGACATTTGTCCATATCATACATCAGTTCTCTACCATTTGAAGAACCACTGGGAGAAAAGATACCCTCACAAACTACAACAATATTAAAAAAACATGTAAACATTCTGTCATAAAAATATACTGAATTATATTGATGGTTTTTTTATTTTTCATTTATTCATGACTGGACAGTTCAATCTACTTAGTGAAAAATTCAAGAATCACCCTAACAAATATACAACTTTTCTACAAAATGACAACATAAAAAGCTCCTTCTTCAGTAGTTTGAAGTAAATTCATATAGAATTGACTAATATGACACTTAAGTAATATTGCATTTTTCATATTTCAGGGAACTTTTTCCCCACAAAAAAATTCCAGGCAAGTTTTCAGAAAACCTCTCTGTACCAAAAGATACAGAACAGCCTGATTACAGTAAGTTATTGCAGGAACAGAGCACAAAAATAGGTACATAGAATAAAATTTTGGGTTTTTTCCTACCCATTTCAAGAATGTGATCTTGTGCAAGTTACTTGAGCTTTCATGACAAAACTCCTTTTCATAATACAAGTTGAGATGACAGCAAATAACTCTTAGGTCACACAGAGCATGGACTTGGTAAGTGTCTCTAACCCTCTAAAATTGCAAACTCTTTAACTCTTCTGGGTGGTGCTGTGCAACAGGACTAAAGGCAATGGTCAGAAATTGTGCACAGGAAGTTCCACCTAAATATGAGGAAGAATTTCCTTACTGTGTGAGTGACCAAGCACTGGAACAGAGAGGTTGCAGATTGTCCCTCACTAGAGACATCTAAGAGGACTGTCTGGACTTGGTCTTGCACTACGTACTCTGGGGATAACTCTGCTTGAGCAGGGAGGTTGGACCAGATGACCCACTGTGGTCTCTTCCAGCCTCACCCAATATATAATTCTGCATGATTGTGTTGGGAGAAATACACCTGTTTATTCAGTAAAACAAGACATTGGATAAAAAGGACAAAGGTAGGGTTAACCTCCACTTGAAGACACTCGCATTAGTATTTCTCAAAAAGACCGTACTCTCTGGCAAAACACAAGAATTGCAACAAGATAAACTTCCAATTTCTTATTTTCTAGAATGACAGAAAAAGAAATAGGCTCTTTCTCCTCTCTCCTTCACTGGCATCATTCTGACAAATATTTTGATGTGAACTTGTAGCTCTTTCACTTGAAAAGCCATATAAAAACACAAATTCTACTGGAACTCATTAAATTTTCTTAATGAATCAACAGCTTGATTTCTAATCCTAACATTGTCAATTCTAGCTACATTTTCGGTTGCATCACCAATCCTCTATGAACTTTCATTGTGAGGTTTTCAAACCAATTAAGCAGTTTATGAAACAATTTCACGGAGTTGAAACAGCCCTTCCATTCTGCCCAGTTTGCAATATAACTACTAAATATACTTAAATATACAAAATAAATTTTATTAAAACAAATATCAAAATGCATAGATTTGGTCTGTCCCCTCTGCTGTGTTCATTAACATGGAAATTTGAACGAAAGCAGTGAAAGAAGAAAGCTAACATTTACTTCTTTCATCCATCAAAACGGTGTATTAAATATACAACCATTACCTGATTTGTGGTGTTCTTTTGTAACTGGGACACACCTGACAATATCTGGAGGACAGAATATCCAAAGATCGCTCTAGTACATCTGTAAGAATCTCCTGGGCTGTCTTTGGAGGTAGAATAGTCCATAGATCATGATGAAGAGCACAGCAGAAGTAATGCCACATCTGGACAGAGAATGAGCATCTTTCCCCCTATCAAAACCACCACACATTACATAACAAAAACACACATTTCTAAAATATCAGTTTAACTTTTACATGTTTAATTATTTAAATCTGAATGGAAATAACTAAAGAGGTCCAGGAATATGATGGCAAAAAATGGTGCTTGAAAAGATGTGAGACATCTTTATTTGCAAGGAAACACATGTTGCATTTCAATCACAAAATTACAGTGCTGCCACAAAATAAAACCACAGCATTTGAACACTTATATCCTCAATTAACCTATTCTCAAAACCCATAGTGTTGTAAGTTTAGTTTAAAAACATAGACAGTATTCTGTACACAGTAGAACAGTCAGATAAACTTAACATAGCAGTTTCATTGTCTGCAAAGAAAATAATGATTTAAATTACTTAAGCATGTGTATTTACCCAGATGCAGAAATGTTATGCATAACCACAACTACAAAACCTTGGTTATACACATATGCGGAAGAGAAGAGAGAGAAGAGAAGAGAAGAGAAGAGAAGAGAAGAGAAGAGAAGAGAAGAGAAGAGAAGAGAAGAGAAGAGAAGAGATAAGAACAACTGAACTATTAAACTGACAATATGAGATATACAGATTGTTTTACTAAGATATTTTTTCCTCTTGTAATTTGGATGTATTGAAAACAAGCATTTTCTGGCAAGGAAACATCATTGGCATTAATATTTCATTGTCTAAACAGATCTATCCCATTAAGACAGAGAAATAAATATACAGGAGTCAGAATCACAGCAGTTACTCCATAATAATTCTAAAAAGTACCCAGGAAATACGTTTCACATTTAAATATTTCAACTAATACCTATTCAGCAAATAGCAGTATCATGAAGGTTTTTGAGAACAGAGACTTCAATCTCCAGTTCCTACTGAAGATCCCAAAGGAACTGAAAATATTTTAAGCATTTGTTGATATTTTAGCATAATTAGAAGTATAAAATAACCCCACAATTTTTAAAAGGTTTTTAGAATTTGGTAGGCATTCTTTAACAGTAAAATAAAAAATAATCTGGCTTCTTTTAAAATACATTAGCATGAACATTAGCAGATTATTGGAAGATGTCACTATTTGGTTTTCCTCTGACACAATACTTGAAGTGCATTTTATATTAAAAAGACAAAGAACAAAATAAACAAGCTTATTGACAAGTTTTACTTTTTAACTTTGTCATTACAAACACAAATTGTTTCACTTTCTCTGCTTTGGTTTATTTAAGAAATAGCTCTTTTCCCCTTTTTTTGTATTGTACCTCCACTGCAGAAGCAACAATATCACTGGAGATTTAAATGAGATTCACTCCCCTTTTCTGACCTGTGTTTCTATTTGTTGCCATTTCTGGACAATTTCACTGATAAACATCTGCTATTTTTGCAGGCTTCTGATAATAAAAAGAGATGTGAGCTTTTATTTAGTCTATATATGAGGAAACAAGCAGCTGTGTTTTATTACATAAGCCACTCAGTATTATCTCTGAACAGACAATTCTTTATTCTTTGACTGTTAGAAAATGTAAGTTCCCACAGCTACAGCAGATGTTGGCTACACTAAGAGCTTCATTCAAAAACATAATCTGAAGAGCTGGCCCAGTGGCTCACTCCTCCTGCTGAGCTCATATGTTGAAAGGAGCCACCTCTCACTGCTGGAAGTTTCAGCAGGGAATTGCCTCTGTAACAAGCAATAGATCTTAATCCAATCTCTTCCATTTAGGATGCCTACAAGAGATCAACTGAAGTAACATCTGCTCTGCACCATGCCTCGTGAAGGAACTTGGAGCAGATCACAGTCCACCCTTGGGCCATCTCCCATGGTCCAGTAAATAAAAAGAGAAGTGATGATGTAAAATTACATACTTTTCACCTCAAGTCCTGTAAACATACAGAACTGAGACACCAGTTTTCCTCATTCCTTCCTACACACATCAGTTCTGTTCAGTAATGATAAAACTGTTTAGCTACTCCATATGCTTTCAGTCAGACAACTGTTTCTCCATGGTGAAGTTACTGGATCACCAGTAAACAGGATGCAGCACCACAGGCACTATAGACAATGAAGATCATATCATGATTCAGCAGTTGCCAAAACCCACTGCCTTTCTTACCTTATAATCTATCATTCAAACAAGATTGAAATGTTTATTTACTTGTCTTGGAGGGATGGACATTTTGATAAATTACTCTATGGTCTGTATGCACAGAATTTGTCACTGACTGAGAAGCTTCTTACAGGGTATCTGTAGATTACATGTATCAGATGAAATTTTCTGTCATGTAAGAATTTTAGAAAATGCTTAACTGTACACACTAATTATCTCACACAGAAAATTATACAAGGAAGAACAAAACTTTGTTTCCCAGACACCTCAGTTATTATTGATTAAAAACCCATATAATACTTCACCCTGCAATTAATTGAAAATAATTTCAAACAGTGTATGGCAACCTATGTTTGTATTTAACTAGGATGAAGGAAAAAATCCAATAAATGAAATAATTATCTTAGTTTTTTTTTCATAGAATTATTAGGATTACAGTTATAGATCAGACTCATGACTTTAAGATGTAGGTGAAATGGCACTGGTTATTTCAGAAATACATTGCTAAATGCTTTACATAACTATACTGACCACCTTTCTGTTTCACCCTTTACTCGCAAAAAGCAAAAAGGGAACCAATTGAAAATAAAAGTAAAAAAATCAGATGAAAAATTTCCCAGAAAAAGATCTTCATATGCCATACTTTCTAAAAGAAGTGTGAAGTTCTTAGAGATTAAGGTGATGGTGTGCCTTTACTGAGTTCTATATAAATGCCTTGACACACAATAAATATTTTACGAAGTAAATGACATAAACATGCCACGGTAACAATCTATCTCATCTTTAAATGACTATGTTTTCCTACATCATTTCTAAATAGACACTTGCCTGCAATAATAGGTATTTCAAAATAGTACATTCCAATAATTCTTATGTAAAAACAATGCTGATCTCATGCTTCTGATTAGTCAGTGAGCTGGCAAACACTAAAACACATTTTGTAAAAGGGAGCCATAGTAAACTTAACCTCACACCTCATAAAAAGCTTTGTAGTCATCCCAGCAGTGGCTCTCAGCATCCTGTAAAATACTTGTAGCACAAACTCTGATGCAGTAGTTCGTAACTTGACACTGGAGAATGTTGATGAATTCTTGACATTTTTGGATAGCCACTAGGAACAGGGGTCTGTTCAGAGAGAATAATTAAAAACACAATGAACGAAAGGCTGAGCATTAGGAGGTAACAATCCCTAGTACTGTAAATAGTTTTTATTAGTAGGTATCAGTTATTCATTTCCTCTTGGTCCTGAACCTAGCATTCAGTTTTGTAACTTTTTGTTTCAAAAGTTCTCAAAATATGTCTGCTTGTCTATAAATTCTCATTTAACCAATCACTGAGAAATAAATTACTTCATCCTATTTTCTGAGACAGGTACATTTGACATTCACTTATTTGGAGTTTTTAATTGCAGCATTCTTGCATCAGCAATTATTACATTAGCACTGAGTATGACAAAAAATACATAAGCACAGAGGACAGAGATTGCTTTTGGTGGGTATGTACTAAAACTCTTCGATAATACATCTAAGCAGAATTATTGAGAAGTATTTTAGGCCAGACAGAGATACACTTCATGCAGGAGACAGTAAAACATCAGAGGGAAATCAGCTCTACAGTGCATAGAACCACTTAGAAATCACATATTTCTTAGAAATTCTGCTACTTCAGGGTCCCTCCCCAAAACCACTGTTTCTACTTTTAAATTGCACATGGCTGGAAAGGCGTGGACCAATAGACTCCGAGTACCTTAAGACAAAATCTCCTCAAAGCAAGTGCAGTTGTATTTCCTCCCAGGTCAAACACTGCCTTTGACTTTACACTCCTACTTCATGTCTGCTTTAATATTTACTCTGCAAGTAATAATAAACTAAATTCTAAAACTAAAATGTATTGTATGCATTTTATTGTATGTATTTCTTTACATGTCTGAATACACATGGTTTTAGGATGTATTTTTATATTGTCCTCTATGATTGCCATGTCCTGGATCAGATCTTATGAAAATTAGGCATAGCAAAGGTCAGAAAAGGAAATCAAGGCCCTAGCACTTTATTTATATGACAGCAGAGTACATTGAGTTCCCTGGACAATCCTATTTTCTCAAATTTAATAATTAAAAAAAATAAAAATCTGCAAATCAAATGCAGATCCTACACATAAATAATTTGTTTTGCAATGGCTGCTGTGGATTATCAGGTTGATTCAGGTATTTCCATAAAACAGTACACATACTGTATGTGCTAAAAAATATGATGCAATTTGGAAAACTACTACCACACTGTATCACCAAAATGGAATGAAGTCTCATATTGTTTACTTTTGAATTAAACATTTTAAGTAAAAAGAACATACCTTTTGCTGGTTTCTCTCATCAAATTGCTATACATTGTAAAATGCTGAAAGACATATATCGCCGTGGAAAGGGAAGCATACAAGTCTTGCAGGGGAGCCTTCACAGGAACGTCTTTGCTTTTCTCCTCTAGTCTTGCCAGAACAGCCGTTGCCACTTTGCTGCAGGCCTCTACAAAGTTTGCTCTAATTTCCTGAAGAGAATCATCTCTGCAGGCCAGAGCCAATGGAAGCAATGTGTCGAGTTCTTCCACGATGTCAGAACAAAACTGAGAGAAATAAATGTGGCACCAAGTTATTTGTATTCCGACAGCACTGCTTAATTTATACACACTAGGGTCAGATTATTGAATAATGAAATTGGCATGAAACACAAATATACTGAGTCAGTTTTACAAACATTTTAATCTCTTAAAAAGAGGAGTAACTTTTTTTAAAGTAAATGAAATATTCTTTCATTCCTTCCTGGGTTAAAGCTGCATATTCTATACTAGGGGAAAAATTAAAACCATCTTATGCTAGTAATGTATTCATTTGGTTTTGATGTCACTAAACATTCATTCAAAGCACAAGGCTAATTCCTTGTAAATAATGTTAATTTTCTAAACTAATGAATTTTGAAAAATACACAAACACATTTCTTAACACTGGATTTGGAAACAAACGTGTCATCTCTTCATAAAGTCATACATTAATCTCCCTAAAATTATCTCCCCAATGCTCATGTGTTATTTCAAGCAAGTATTCATTAACAGCCTTCCAAATCTGCTAGCATAGCTGCAGATCTTACTAGAAAAAGTCTTTCAAACATACCTTTCCTTACAAAAGGAATTTAACTAATAAATGACCTTTCAGCCAAATCAAATAACTCAAAATTTGCCTTATTACTGGTTATGCCAATTAGTTGAATGGCATGTCTAATGATATGAATACAGGAAATCCCTCTATAGCCGTATTTCAAAGCTTTTGACATTTTCCCATCTAACCACTTGGTAACAGAGCACATACTAATCAGAATGCTTTAGAACTTTTTGGCTGAAAAAAAAATGCCAGCGAAGTTTAAAAGGTAATTCTTTCAAGTACAAACTATGGGCTATTGTATAAAGCTCTGTTCAGCTTCACATTGTAATGCCTCTCACTTTCTTCTTAATTCCATTTATATAAGATATAGAATATTAATAGTACTGTAAGTACTTCAAAGTGTAGATGGCAAACAGCCTTGGCATTCTGTCTCTCTTCAAACTTAAGATCTTTTGATACCTGCCTTAGCAATTCGTTTTGGTTGCTCTTCCTGTTGGACTGCTCTGCAGGACTCCCTCATTTGCTGGTTGTTTACAAGACTCATTGCACAGCCTGCAGCTGAAAACTCTTCTTTCTGCTCATGTTGAAGAATTTTAGATGAAAAATCCTCAATTGCAATTGTTATACAGTGAGCCACAGAAGAAGACAGGTCTTTAAATGCATTTCTCCAGCCAAAATTCAGTAAAATAGGCTGAAACACATATTCAAATTAAATCAATCCAAAGCCATTATTGAGTGTTAATATAGTCTGAAAATTAAATGCACATCCATAATTAAATTACAAGACACCATCACATTTTGAAATTATTTAAAGAATTTAAAATATAGTCCACTAGTGTTGAAATAATACTAAAAGCAGTATTTACACTCAACAAAATGCATAGCAACATTAAACATGTCATCAAATTTTTCAGAAAAAAGAATTCCTGTTTAAACAAGACAGCTTTTATAAAAACATGCTTCATCTTTACTTAATTCGTAATCTTTAACAGACTCTGCTTTAAAAAGTCAAAGAATTCATAGGTACTTTCAACAGTAATCTATCAATGTATACCCTATAGTAATTTTCACTGCAAGTTAACAACAGGAAGTTACTAACCATGAATCTCAATGGGAAACCCTTGAGAGAAGATGGTTTCAGCACAGGCACACTGTACTTCACTCCTCTAGAAATGGACTTAAAAAAGATTTAAATGTTTAAATAGAGATTTATAGTTTTAGGCCAATGATGGCTTTTATTGTGGTTTACATAATTTCCTTGCCCTCTTTAAACAGAGACTTCTGAAGTAATCTGAAGTGTAATAGTTGGCAGAAGTAGGCACAGTAGCACATCATTACTTTTCGACTTATCTGACTTTGCATTGCTCTTATGACTTATATCAGACTTAAACCTTTCCAGAAGTGGCCATTTGAGAATTGCACCACTGTAAGAGATATATTTTAATGACATGAGATAATGTTCAGTAAATATCTCCACCATGAGGGCACAGTAGGAGAATAGAAAAGACAGATTTCTAACTATTCATTCAGCTATGTTACTAAATTGGAAGAGAATGAAGAGCTACAAAGTGAAGCCCTTCCAGTTTACTTCAATGTAAAAGCTGTATCCTCCTTCCTTTCCCTTTCCCCACTAGCAACAACCAGCTCTTCAATGTACAGGGAGAGCCCCCATGGACACACACTTTTGCACTTCCTCATTTTTTTTTTTTTTAATGGGGATCAAGTACATCCCAATCTACCTAAAATATTCTTCTTTGTAATACATATTAGTTTCACACATCAATCCAAAGTACATTTTTAAAAAAAATTCAGCATTAAAATCAAGCCATTAAGAAATTAAATTCCACTACTATAAAGTATGAGACAGTTGGAGCACTTTATGTGCCACAAAATCAACAATAAAAATGTGTTTTGTAATAAATGGGAGCCAGATAAAAACAATCTTGCACGTACATTCTACAAAACACAGTGTTCATTATACAGTAGCTTTTGGCATCAGAGAAACTAGACATTGTATGACTACCTGCATGTCTAGGAAGAACCATTATGATCAAATTCTAAGAACTTCATAAATCTTCTTCAAGGTTCTTTGAGATTATATGTATAATACTAAGAAAGCTATCATATTTAAGTAAATTTTTCCATTTTGTTATGAGGTATCTTATAATTATGTTTTTTCTGTTAATAACTACTAAATACCAACCACTTCTTTGAATGCCATAAAATTTTGTTCCATCTAAACTGAAACTTTGCACATAGAAGTAATCACAGAAGCTGAAGTAATGAAACTATGGCAATAGGTGTTTATAATGAACATGGTGAAAGCCTACACAGGAGACACACACAAAAGAAAACCCCATACAAAGTGTAAGACTCCTTTCATACTCACCTCTTCTACCTGAAGTAACTGTTCAGGAAGCACGCTGGTTTCATTTGCTCTAGTTTCTCCTATTAAAAGCTCCCCACTAGCTCTCTTCAGAACTCCTGCACAGTATGACAAAAGAGATCAAAGTTTATATTAATTCTGTAGAAAACTCAGCAGTCTTCAACACCTTCTTATATATCAATATGAAGCATAAAAAAACCCTCAAGAAGATGTAGGGGAATACTAATGTTATAATAAAGTCAAATTCAAGTTATATACAGTTTCTTTTATATAACATGATGAAATCAACATCTAGTGGTACTTGTATTTTATACAAATGCACATATAATGTTTTCTTTTGTCATCGATGCATTTTTATACTGATTGTGAAGTCATCTCTTCTTAAGGAGAATGCATAACACTTGATCAGATGTATAGAAATTAATTTCTCCTCTTTGTTCAAAGAATAATATCAATTGAACACTAATATATCTTTTACAGCCTTCACTTATTTGGAAACACCAATACAGTAAGAATAAAACCACAGTTAATTAGTACATATATTATAAGCAAAATGATGGCTTATAAAAACATAAAGAACAAGAGAAGCTCATTAAGAAAGGCTGGTACAAAGCTCACTCATAAATCTTAGAGCAATGGGATACTGCCCCAGTTTTGTCAAGACAAACCAGTATCTGGGTTTGATATCACTTTTATCAGTGATTCAAGAAATCTGGGTTCCTGAAATGTACTGATGATTCCTCTTCCCTGTGATACAAGCATGAGATAGTGGAGTTCCAGATCCTGAGAGCACAAAGAAGGGTAAAAAGCAAGATCACAGCCCCAGGCTTCAGAAGAGCAGATTTTGCCTCTTCAAATGTCTGCTTGGAAGAGTCCCACAGGATAAGGCCCCCTAGGTAAAGGGACACAAGAAATTTGACTAATATTCAAGTATCACCTCTGCTAATCTCAAGAGAGCTGAAAAAAAAATGGCAGAAGGCCTGCATGCATGAACTAGAAGATCCTAGCCAAACTCAAACACAAAACGAAGCATACAGAGAGTGGAAGTAAGGATGAGTAACCTAAGAGGAACACATAAATAACTTCTGAGCATGGAAAAAGTTAAGGAAGCTAAAACGCAAATGCATCTGATTTGGCCAGGGATGTCAAAGACAACAAGAAGAGCTTCTGTAAGTACACAGGTGATAAATGGAAGACTAGAGAAAACATGAGCCCATTGCTCAGCAAGATAGGGGACCTGGTAACATAGATATGGAAAAAGTTGAGATAATGAATGTCTTCTTAAATTCAGTATTTACTGTCAAGACCAACCTTCAGGAATCCCAGGCACCAGAGACCAGGAGCAAGGAAGACATAATCTAGATGGAAGAGGATCAAGTCTGAGAATAACTAAGCAAACTCACCATACTGAAATCCTTGGGCTTTCATGGGATGCACCTGCCAGCGTGGAGGGAGCTGGCAGATGTCAATGCAAGGCCACTCAATAATTTTTGATCAATCATGGCAACTGGGAGAAGAGTCCAAAGGCAAGAAGAAAGCAAATGTCACTCCTATTTTAAAAAAGGGCAAGGAGGAGAGGACTCAAGGAAGCAGAGTCTTGTCAACCTCACTTCTGCCCCAAGGAAGGTAACAAAGGCATTTCCAGGTGCCTACAAAGAATTCATCAGGAGCACTCAGCATGGCTTCAGTAACAGGAAGTCATGCTTGGCCAAAGTGTGATAAAGTTCTATGAAGAAATGATTGGCCTGGTAGATGAGGGGACAGTATTGGATGTTTTCCGCATGGACTTCAATAAAGCCCATAGCATTGTCTCCCATAAGATCTCATTAGAGGACAAGATGTAGACAAGATGCATAGACTCGACAAGCAGTCAGTAACGTGAGCTGAAAAGTGGCAGAATAGCCAAGCCCCAAATGCAGCGATCTGTGGTACAAAGTCTAAGGGCAGTAATTAGCAATCTATCTCAGAGGTCAATACTAGGTCCAATCCTGTTTAGCATCTTCATTAATGATCTGGATGATGGGGTACAGTGTACCATCAGCAAGTCTGCAGCTGACATCAAACAGGGCAGCAGACAGTCATGGTGCCAATCCAGAGGGACCTCAACAGGCTGGAGAAATTGGCACACTAGAACCTCATAAATTCCAAGAAGCAAAGTCACGCATCTGGGGAAGAATAAACCCAGGCATCACTCTATGTTGATGTTCTCCCAGCTGGTGAGAAGCTTTGCATGAAAGGAGCTGGGGGTCCAGAAGTACATGATGTTGAACATAAGCCAGTAAAAAGGTATCTGGTCTGGATCAGGCAAAGAATTATAAGCAGGTCAAAGGAAATTTTTCTTCCTCTCTGCTCAACAGTGATGAGCCACACCTGGAGTGGTGTGTACAGTTCTGGGTTACTCAGTACAAGACAGACATGAACATACTGGAGAGTGTCTAACAAAGGGCCGTGGAAGATGACAAAGTAAATGGAGGAGAGCAACAGAAGAGAAAGAGCAGGGCACTAATATATATAAATACCTGAAAGGAGGGTCCAAAGTGGTCAGAATAAGTCTTCCACGATGACAGGGCCAATGGTCACAGATGCAAAGCCAGGAGTTTTCCTCTGAACATCAGAAATTGCTTTTTTTACTGTGAAGGTGACCAAGCACTGTAAGGTTGTCCAGAGAGGTTATGGAATCTCCATCCTTGGAGATACTCAAAAGCTATCTGGACATAATTGTGGGCAATTGGCTCCAAAGGCCTTGCTTGAGCAGGGATTGTTGGACAATATGAATACAATATGAAGATCCCTTCCAACCTCAACCATTTTGTGATTCTGTGAGTCACAAAGAGATACAAGAATAACACCCAATGATATGTATTTTAAAAGTCTGTCTTGTAACATAAACACTGGTGCAGATATTCCTAAAGTAATGTATTTCATAAGAAACATGAAATTTTAAAAGAGGTTTTAAATGACCAGGTGCTACCAAATCATTGTCAAAGATTATCTTCCAGTCATAACCTTGGAGGTCTTCAGTATTCTGAAATTTCCAGCACTGGATTTAATTTATCCAAAATAGATGTAACCTTTTCCTTAATTGATTTGCATTCTGAAAAGAAACACTGTTTTTCAAACACTTATACAACATTGAAGAGCTTTGAAGTTTTTGTGGGGTTATTTGTTTTGGGGGATTTTTTGTACATTTGGAGGGGTTTTTTCCCAAATACCATTTTTGTTTGCATTTTCAAAATACACTGACAGATTTAAGCTGGGAAAAATGAAAAATAAAATAGTAGAACATAAAAACAAAATATATTAATCAGGCCATCCAACTCCCTGATCCTCATCATTACAGACAGTACCAGAAACTTACTGGGTTTTTTTCAGCAATTTAATGTATTTTATAATAAAGTTTCTAACAGTTTTCTTTAGAAATCGGTCCAGAATTTTAAAAACCCAAATAATAGTCTAACTGACTGGATATTTTCCCTATTTTCTATTCTATGTTTTCTACCTTAAATTTACCTTTTTTCCTTTCAATTCTTCTTTTTTATAGATATCACATTCTAACTATAACCACAAGTAAGCTTCTATACATTCACATTCTTGTATTATTGTCACTACTTAGATCTACTATTTAAAACTTTTTATATCAAGACATTAAAGAAAACCTTAAACATTTAAGCTAAAATCCTTGTCTATTCACAGCATTGCTGCCTTACTTATTAAGAACTTACAGCTGAGATAAATAGGTATTCAGCTGATGGCAGATTTGTGACTCCAGGACCACAGGCCTGGACCAAAGAGACAAATGATGCTTACACCCATACCAGTCATTTAACAGGTTCCTTCATTATCAAATTAACATGTTCTACTACATTATCGTACTTCCTTTTCTAATTAATAGTCTGGACACTCCTGCTTTATACTCATATGTATCTATGCTTGTGCATGTAGGTCTACATACATTAAAAATTTCACTGGTTTTCTCAAAGAAGCTGCAGGTTCAAGTCCCCCATATTTCACTGACTTTGTTTGGCTTCTCAAATTTTTGCTTTCCCCAAATCTCATCTGGGTATGGCTGGCTAAAGCCATCTTCTTCTTCGATTTAACCTCCAGTTAGCAAGGGTCACCTTCCCACTGTATCTTGAACATTGTACACTTAGCCACAGCCCCCCATAGAGCCTCCACTCTTCAGATACTACTACAACCTTCCTCTCAAACACTATTTCCACAGAGACAGATAACAAATTATATCCTTCCTGTCCTGAGACTTCTTCACTTGTGTGAGAGACTGGAAGGAATGCTTGCTCAAAATGTTTCAGGGGTTTGTGTGAGGGAAAGAGACAGGTCAGGTCTTGTTCTGGTGAGGCAGAACATTGCTCCATATACTCCATCTCCCAGAGCCTGTGTCCCAGCCCAGAGTGGCCGCCAGTCCCTGGCACATTACAGGCAATGCTCCACACCCTGCCCCTGGAGCCCCAGCTCAGCCCTAGAGTGGCCCGATGACTGAAACTCCCACCTGGGGAAGGGCCCAGGAAAGCCAAAGGGTATTTAACCTGAGACACAAGGTCAGCATGTCTTGACCCTGTCTCCTCTTTGAATCTTTATGAGCTGAACACTGCTGGAACCAGGAGTGGTAGTTAGGTTTGTTCTTTTCGGTATAATTTCTGCCTTTCTCTCTTTCTTCTTTTAATTCCCTCTTCTTGGAATTTTTGAGTAACTTAAAATTGAACCGGCTTAGAGTTCGCAAAGTTGAATGGGCCAAGTTAATGCTTTGAAAAGTGTTTTATGTTGATTGAATGCTGGCCTAAACGTTTTGCTAAAGTTCCTTGATATCCTGAAGTTGCCAGTAAAGTTGCTTTGACCTCTTGAGAATATCTTGTTGGTATCTGTACTGTGTGTCTAACTATGAAAAACCACAAGCCCTTTTAAGTGTCTCATCAAGTAAGGATTTTAGGGCTTTACAACTTGTCTTCTGACTGTGTTGCCCTAATGAGCAAACTCTCCTGGGAAAGAGAATCATAGCTTTATTCAAGGTACAGCTGCTAGGCAGTCCACATTAGTTTGCTACCGCAGACAGAAAGGCAGGGATGGGTCAGAGGAAACATAC